AGAGTTATCTTTTTTTTAAGTCAGGCTTAGTTGAGATGTAATTTGTCTCCAGTAAAAATCACCATGTAATTCAAAGAATTTTGATAAATGGTTACAGTTGTGTAACCATCACCACCATCATTCTGTAGAATATTTCCATTACCCTAAGAGTTCTTTGTGCCCTTTATAGTCAATTCTCTCTCCTGGCCCGCCAGATTGTGGCAACCACCAATACGATTTCTGTCTCTATAACAGGGTTTGCCTTCTCCAGAATGTTATTTATTGCAATCAGACAATGTGCAGCATTTTATATTGAGCTTCCTTACTTACATAATGCTTTTGAGACTATCCCATGTAGGTCCATTTATCAACCAATCATTCTTTTTTTATTTGAATAGTATTCCACTGTGTGGATGTACAAAAACTTGTTTATCCATTGATGGACATTGAGTTTATTTCCAATTTTGACTATTATGAATAAAGTTGCTATAAGCATTCACATACAGGTTAAATTATTTTTCAGAGTGGTTGTGCCATTTTGCATTCCAGCCAGCAAAGTATGAGAGTTATGGTTGCTCTACATCCTTATCTACATTTCAAATTTTCTGTTTTTTGATTGGCTATTACAGTCTGTCTACCACAGTGAGATAGTGATATCTCTATGTGGTTTTAATTTACCTTTCCCTAATGACTACTGATATGGAGAACTGTTTCATGTACTTATTTGCGTCTCTTCTTAGGTGAAGTTGTGTTCAAATCTTTTATCCTTTTTTAAAAACTAGGTTGTCTTTTTATTATTGTGTTATTATATTAGATAGTTCTTCATCTGCATTTGAATATTTTCTCAGATATGTGCTTTATAATTTTTTCTCTGCCTATTATGACCTGTCCTTTCATTTTCTTAACTGTGTTTTTTAAAAAGCAGAAATTGTTGAATTTTAATGAAGTTGAATTTACCAAGTTTTTTTCTTTAATGAATTGTGCTTTTTTATTTTATCTAAGAACACTTCACTTAACTAAATGTCTCTCAGACTTTCTCCTCAAAGTTTTAAAGTTGTAGGTATTTTGTTTAGGTCTGTGATCCATTTTAGTTGACTTCTTAATATGGTTTAAAGGTATAGCTCAAAGGATATTTTTTCTGTACAGGTGCCTGATCATCTTAATGCCTTGTGTTAGAATTCTCATATCTCTATTGAAATACCCTGGCACTTTGTTACAAATTAAATAACCAGAAATACATGCTTCTATTTCTAAACTCCCTCTTTTTATTTCCACTGATTTATATGACTTTTCTTATGGCCATTGTCTTGATTACTGTAGCTTTAGAGTGAGTCTTGAAATCAGGTAGTGTGAGCACTCAAACTTCGTTCTTTTTTATTTTTTCCACAAAAAAAATGTCTACTGGGAATTTTAATTTAGGTTTTGTTGAGTATACATATATAAATTTAAAGAAAATTGACATCTTTTTTAGCACATAACAAATATTTTTATTTTTGACAATTTATTCATTTTTATTATATTTCTTCCATTACCATTTATTCCTCATACCCTTTTCCACCTTCATCCCCCCAAAAATGTGATTCCATGCCTCACTTTTTAAAAACCAAAGATGCAATAATTACATTGTACAGTGTATACTTTTCTAGCTCATAATTTCATCTGTTTATTACAGTTAAGCCATACTAAAAAATCATAAAAGTCAGGTAAAAATACTTTTTCCTCTAAAAAATGCAACATATTCCTAACAACTAAATAGATATTGTTCAAGAACAGAAATGCTCTTACCTCAATAATACTGGTGTTTTTGATCCATCAATACAATATATCTCTTTATTTACTTAAGTCTTTAATTTATCACATCAATATTCTGCACCTTTTGTGTGCAAATTTTGCATGTATTTATTAGATTTATTCGTAAAAACTTCATGGTTTTTTGATGCAGACACTGGCCCGCAGTGTCTGTGTCATTATGGATGAAATGAGACATTCACACGGACTACTGATTCCAGTGAAGGAAAAGGGAGAGCATGGCTTTTCTCTCAAGGGGAGCAAAAGCTGCGGCCTCCACCATGCCAGGCCTTTATTAGGTTTCTCAGCACATACATGATGGGCCTCATTTACTATGCACAGGTTCGCTTTGGGTGGTTACCTTTTACAGAAAACAAAGGAGCCAATGCTGCTAATCACATCACAGAAGAGGGATATTTGCAAATGAAAAGGCAAAAGTTGTTGAACCAGTTACACTCATCCTTGGAAGGTTTAACATGGATTTTAGGAAGTTACTTTGCAATAAATGTCCTCAATTCAGGGTGAGAGAGTTTTTTAGCAAGAGCAAGACTCAAAGTGGCCTAGGCACATTGCAGGTCTGATTCCCCATGGGAGAACCTATCCGTAGGCATGGGTCCTGTGCATCTCCCAGTGGGAGCTGGGCCCATGCCACGCAGAATGGTCTCCTACAGTTTTTGATGCTGTTGTAAATGATATTTAAAATCTTTTCTATATCAGTATTTATTTTTGTGGCTAGTGAGTTAATTTCTTCACCCCAAAATAATAAAGCAGTTATTGAATTGGAGAATAATATTTGAATTTATGCACTTAATTTGTAAACCTCTTTCCTATCCATCTGACCTGATCCATAGTTTTGCAGATCAGAAAACTGACCTTCATATGTATGTGGCAGAATACGAATTAGATATCAAGATTGAACAATCATGTCTTTTGGCTGGAAGTGCACTAAGCCCTTCAGAAGTTTTTTAGATTATATTTCACATTCAATAAATATTTCTTGAGTGCGTACAGCATTATCAATTTGTAGCCATTGCTTTTATTTCCTGTAGGTTTCCTCAAACATGATGTTCTTAAGTTAGTTTCCTATTTTTTTAAGATTTATTTCTTTGTTTAAATATATTTTATTGATTATGCTATTACAGCTGCCCTATTTTCCCCTCCTTTATTCACCTCCTCCCTGCTCTCCCACCCACATTACCCCCTTAGTTCATTTCCATGCGCTGTACATGTAAGCTGTAGGTTTCTACATTTCCTCTACTATTCTTAACCTCCCCCTGTCTGTTTTGTACCTACTATTTATGCTTCTTATTCTCTGTACCTTTTCCCCCCATTCTCCATCTCTTCCCCACTTATAACCCTCCATGTGATCTTCATTTCTGATTCTGTTCCTGTTCTATTTGCTTAGTTTGTTTTTATTTTTGTTTTTGTTTTTTATTTTTTGTTTTTGTTTTTTTAGGTTCAGTTGTTGATAGTTATGAGTTCGTTGTCATGGTATGGTTCATGGTTTTGATCTCCTTCTTTTCCTTAGATAAGTCATTTTAACATTTTGGTGATGATGAACTCCTTGAATTTTTATCTCATCTGGGAAGCACATTATCTGCCCTTCCATTCTAAATAATAGCTTTGTTGAATAGAGTAAGCTTGGATGTAGGTCCTTGCCTTTCATGGCTTGGAATACTTCTTTCCAGGCCCTTCTTGCCTGTAAGGTCCCTTCAGAGAAATCAGCTGATGGTCTTATAGGGACTCCTTTGTAGGCAAAGGCCTCCTTTGTAGGTCTCCTTTTCTCTTGCTGCTTTTAAGATTCTCTCCTTATCTTTAATCTTGGGAAATATAATTATGATGTGCCTTGGCATATGCTTCCTTAGTTCCAACTTCTTTGGGACTCTCTGAGCTTCCTGGACTTCCTGTAAGTCTATTTCCTTTGCCAGATCAGGGAAGTTTTCCTTCACTATGTTTACAAATAAGTTTTCACCTTCTTGCTCTTCCTCTTCTCCTTCTGGCACCCCTATGATTCTGATGTTGGAACCTTTAACATTGTACTACAGGCTCCTAAGTGTCTCCTTTTTTTTTTTTGGTCATGTGCTCACATAAGAGAGGCCATGTAGGAGATGGAAAGGGCTCTGAGCTGTAGGAATCTGATCCTGGCTGGTCTGTCACCAACAAAATTACCTTGGCCCCAGTCTCCATGTCATTAGAACAGGTGCACTGGATTCCACGCCCCCTAAAAATCTATGCCTTTGACGTTCTGTCACCAAGAAGAGGAGAATAAGTAGTATGTGGGTTAGCTGAATTAATTAAGCAGTCATGTACCACTGGGGAAAGCAAGAGGTTTTTGTCATAAAACAGAGGTGGAGACTGCAACCCTCCAACATTTTATTATGAAAATATTCAAACATACAACAAACTTTGAAGAATTTACAGTGAAATCCTACCTAGAGTCTATGACGAATATATTCATCCTTCTATGATCTCTCTATTCATCCATTGACTCATCTCATTTTTTATTAAGATTTGGCTTCTTTACCATAAAATTTACTCATTGTTTACTAATTGTTACTCATGAGTTTTGGTGATTGTGTAATCACAGTCAAGATATAGAACAATTTTCTCACCCTCAAGAGCTCTCTCCTTCATCTCAGAGTTGTCAGCCTCCCCTCCCCACTCCCTGCCCTGCCCCTGCCCTGCCCCCCACCCCTCACGAGAAACCACATGTGGCATGCCTTGCTTTGTTCAGGTGAATCACAACGCACCTGGGAGAGGGCAGCAAAGAGAGATGAGGGCCAACCAATGGCCTCTCGCACAGCAGGCCACTTGCGGCTCGTTGCCCACAAGCTTAGCTTGGGCTAATGACTATGCAATGCTCATTTCTGTTAGTTCATCAACAGGCAGTAATGGTATGTTCTGTCCCAAGTGGGGATATGAGGTCACTGGCCCTAGAATGCAGCGTCATCATTATATTCCTACTGAATCCTGGGAGGAGGCAGGTGCCCCCTTGACACAACTTTGTATCCTCTCCCAATGTTCTGACTGCTCTCTGATGACAGTCCTTCCCTTGTGCCCATCAACAGCCTATGGAAACTCACTTCCCATGTCATCGGTGATAGCAGCGGCTCAACACTCATCTTCTGCACCTGCAGGTAAGGCTCGTTCTTTTTGTATCATGTCTTCTGATCAATTTTGCCCACTTGACAATGAATGAGTGAATGAATATATGTCACTAAAGATATACAAGGATGGGCAAAAGTAGGTTTACAGTTGTGAGTACACAAAGCACAGACTTTATTCTTGTATTATTATTTATTAAGTATTATATTATTTTCCATATGAACAACTGTAAACCTACTTTTGCCACACCCTGGATAGTGTCACTGGGGATATATATATATATATATATATATATATATATATATATATATATATATATATATAGTAATGAACAAAACAGACCCCCATGTAGGCTATATCCACCTGAGGAGGGGTATGACAACCATGTGGTGAGCACTGTAATAGGGGAGCACAGAGTGCCCAGAAGAGGGTCTCCATCCAGACCTGGAGGACAAGAGCAGGAGGAAATAATATCTAAGCCAAGAACTGAAGGGTGAGGGGCATCGGGATTGTGCCAGGCAGGAGAGAAACCAGGTTGTTAGACTCCCCATGGGCTGAAGGGTGGGAGACATTAACATGCTTTCTGAATCAGAACACGGGGCTGGCCAATAACCAGACAGAATTAATGAAGAGCAAAGTGACTCATCTCTTCAGGATGGTTTTTTGCTGTGATCAGGAATGAGTGATATTTCAGAATATTGAGCCTTGAGTTGGGTTTTGGTTTTTGACAAATTAGGTCCAGTCTGAGGTCAGATAAGGCAGGAATAAAACAATGGACCCCTCATTCTCTCAGTCTAGCTGTACAGCCAAAAGATTTGGGAGGAGCCATTGTCACTGCCCTGGAGTCCGAGGGCAGCCCTGGTGAAATGGCTCTTGGCCATTGGCCATGGTCTTGGGAGCATGGCCATCACCAGCAGTCCCATTGTTGGCCCTATGAGCTTTAATTGCCTGAGTGCACCCTCCACATCTTTCTCTTCTATGTTAACATTTTTAATGTGTCTGTCCAAGCTCTCTTCTTTGTATTCACTGTTTTAAACATTTTTAAATTGAGGTATAATCCAGATATGACATTATATTTGTTCCAGGTATAAACATAGTGATTCAATATTTGTATATGTTGACAAATAAGCAGCACAATAAATCTAGTTAACATTTGTCACCACACAGAGTTCTAGATTCTTTTTCTTGTGATGAGAACTTTTTTTTAAAGATTTTTATTTATTTATTTTTAGAGAGGGAAGGGAGGGAGAAAGAGAGAGAGAAAGAAAGAAACATCAATGTGCGGTTGCTGGGGGTCATGGCCTGCAACCCAGGCATGTACCCTGACTGGGAATCGAGTGATGAGAACTTTTAAGAGCTACTCTCCTCCACATCTTTCTTTTCTTCATTTGCTCAATAACTGTTCATCTTGCATGCCTACCATGTGCTGAGCACTGAGCCAGTGATATGGTGCATGAATAGGAGACCTGGCCATAGTCTCACTTCTTAGGGAGTCTGCAGTTTGGAGGGGGACAAGTCTTGCACACAGAAACCCATACAGAAGACAGAGATGGTCTATGATATGAAAGAGCCCCTCATGCTCTTTCTGTACCAGCCCCACCCCACCCCATCGCTCCCCTACCCACCCCCCACCCCCACCCCTGACCACAAGCATAATGCAGTCAGGGGAGAACAATTAGGAAAGGAAGTGAGCTGTTGAGAGCCATTCCCTTGCACCCTGGCTTCTCCTTCCTCCCTCTTTTTTTCCTGTTAGACACTATTATTGTGAGCAGCTTCTCTACCACTTACCCACTCACGTATGACTCATCGATACTGCCCCAAGGGGAAACAGCAAGCCCTGAGTCCATGTGATCTTCCAGTCTTCTTCCCAATTCCAAATAGGCAGCAGAGAACTTGGCCCAATTCAGCCTATGCGTCAGTTCCTCTGAAGTCAGACATGCACTCAAGCTGACCAGGCAGATTCAACCATGGGTCACATGGCATTGACCCCACGGTCCCTCCTGGTTTTGGGTAGAACAGGTTATCTAAGAAGGGGGTATGGATAAAGAAGACATGTATGAATTATCTATTGCCATGTAAAACCACTCCAAAACACAGTGGTTTGGAACAACCACCATTTGTAGTTACTCATGAGTCTGTGGGTCAGCTGGGCAGTCCTGCAAAGCTACGGTAGGCTTGGCTGGTTTGTGCTGACCTTAGAAGACTCCCTCATGCATTTGTGGTTAGCTGGCAGGTCAGTTGGCCTCAGATGCTGGCCTAGGATGACCTCACTCACATGCCCTACATTTCCATAGCTGTTATCTAAGATGACAGAGGTGACAAGGTCAGGTGTCTTTTATCACTCAGCCCAGTAGCTCAAGCTTATTCACATGATTGTCCCAGAGTTTCCATGAAGACCTCTTGAGATTTCTTGAGCTCTATGTGGGTGTACCATTATTATTGCTATATTTTATTGGTCAAAACAAGTCACAGGCCACCAGCCCAGAATCCAGGGGTAGGCAGATAAATCCGACCTTTTGAGAGGGGGTGCTATAATGTCACATTGTGAAGAGCCAGGCTATAAAGAAGAGAACAACCGGGGCCATTTGCATGAACGGTTGGCCACAGACAACCGGTCTTCAGACAGGGTGTGGATGAGTTGGATGTTAGAGGCTTCCTAGCTGGGGGGTGGCAGGGGATCTCTCAAGGCAGCAGGAAGAGTGTGAGTAGCAAAGTCATGGGACACAAGGAGAGCTGGGCTGGGGAGAAGGTCATCCAGCCACCAATAAGCAGAGGGCACTTTTCTCACCCTGTGATTCCTTCTCCCCCCACTCTCCCCAGGAGGCTGGGCCTCGGTGAGGCTGGTGGGCAGCCCTGGGAGCTGCGCAGGCCGCGTGGAAGTTTTCTACCAGGGGACCTGGGGGACCGTGTGCGATGACCTCTGGGACCTGGTGGAAGCAAACGTCGTCTGCAGGCAGCTGGGGTGCGGCTGGGCTGTGGCAGCTCCTGTTGAGGCCTACTTTGGGGAAGGTTCTGGACAGATCCTGCTGGACAATGTGCACTGCAGGGGAGACGAGCAGCACCTGGAAGAGTGCACCCACATTGGCTGGTTCTCCCACAACTGTAGGCACGGGGAGGATGCCGGCGTGGTGTGTTCAGGTGAAACCCCACTCCCCTCCCAGGCAGCGCCCAGCTTTGGCTCTTCCAAGACAGCACTCACAGCAGGTGGTTTTATCTCTCACACTTACAGATGCCGAACCCTGGGCCAACATGCCAACAGGTAGGGAAGGTGACGTCTCCAGGTGCAGCTTATCAAAACCTTGGGGAGGAGCCTCTGCTGGAAATGAGATGTTTCCTACCCTCAAGCTGGTGGAGTGACTGAGATGTGGAAGCCCCTAACTGCCCAATGGAGAGATGGAGAGAAGCTTAGAAACCTCCAGTGCAGGCCCACTTCCCCCGTCTCCTTCTACTCTGCAGAGGAAGCAGATTCAAAACTTCTCAGGCTTCTGAGTAGCACTTTCTGCTCACCAGTTCTGAGGGCTGCATGGGGATGGCAGTGAGACATGGATGGGGGGTGGGTAAGATATGAGAGGCAGTTAAGGACCCTTCCTTCCCAGAGGCAGATGTTGGTGGGCCAGACCTGGCCAAAGTCAAGGCGACCCAATTCTGTCCCTACCCTCTCCTTGCCTCTGCCTTGTCCCTGGTGCAGCCCTGGCCCCACAGGGCTACCCGTACTGCTGGTTTCCCACATGCTCTCAACACCAACACCCGGAGATTTTCATGCCAAGCACCATCTTTCCTTCCTCAAATCCCTAGGTCCCTTTAGCCAGCTATGAATGAAGCTGGGTAGACAAGGTCTAGTAAAGCTTCAGTCATATTCCCTCCTGGTTTGTCACTTCTAGTAGGTGGGAATGTATTGGTCCTGGGAGAGAGTCTCCACTGGGAGGTTCTGGGCCAAGTGTCATTGGTTGGACAGATGTTGGGGACATGGAGGAGGATCCATAGCATCCTTAGGCCCTGACCCACCATCTCTGAGCAGCAGATCAAAGGGATCATGAATCGGTACCTCTTGCTATTCTTACATGGCAGCCTTGTAACTCCAGGCACTTGGGTCACTGGAATTGGCTATAGGAGCCAGAATTTTGCATCTTTCATTTTTTAACCACCCTCTCAATTTAATATCTTATGTGTGTATCTGGCAAGAGGCTAAGGCACCCATGTCTGGGATGACTCTAGATCAATGTTTCTCTCCCATACACTAACCTCCCTCCATGCTCTGACCTCTCTCCCAGGGACTGACTCCATAGTTCTCAGAGGGGCCCACACAGTGTGTCTGTTACAAGCTCCCCCGGGTCTCATGTACAGATGGAGGTGGGGACCTCAGTGCCCGCTGACAGTTCGTATGTCCTCTGTGTGTTTGACAGGTCACCCACTGGCTGTCATGGAAGGGACAATCCCTGCAGGTGAGACTTTGGTCATGAAAGCATCTGAATTTTGGGGGAAAAAGTAAAAGATGTGTGAATTACAAAATTAGTGAACTGATTTATTAAAAAATGGAAATTCTAAGCTATCTTTCTGCCCATAGGAAAACCCCAGTGTGGCAGGGTTATTACCAACTCATCTGGAGCCATCAGGAATCCCCCACAGAACACGATGCACGACAACATAACCTGCGTCTGGGAGATCAGGGCAAGCACGTCCAATCACATACTGCTGGCGTTCCCATACCTCAAGTGAGTCCTAAGTCCGTGACTTCAGTACACGGTGTACTTTGGAAGTCCAAGCACTTACTTCCTCGGTTGGTTCTCACAACTAAAAGAGTCCTTCCTGCCTTTAAGTTTTATTTTGAAATAATTACAAATATATAAGAAGTTTCAAAACGATGAGTTCTGTGTACCCTTCACCCAGGCTCCCCCATTGGTGGCATCTGAATATAACTGCAGAGCAATATCAAAAGCACACACTTGACATCAGTGCAATACTGTTAACTTGACTATAGATTTCTGACTCAGTTTTCACCATTTTTACGTGGGTGTGTGTGCATACATGGGTGGGTGGGAGTGTCACAGACACTTGGGTTGAGATTAAGACACTGTGTGTGTGTGTGTGTGTGTGTGTGTGTGTGTGTGTGTGTGTGTGTGTGTGTGTATTTCAGCCTGCTGGCTAAAGATGCAGATTCCAGGGACCCACAAGCCCAATAAATCGGAAAACCTCAGGTTTTAATGTCATAGTCAAGGTTGATGTTCTTCATAGGTGAATGTCTTATGGAACACCCCCAGGGACAACCTGAATTATATATTACCCTGGAATTTTGTTTAGTGGAACAATGACTTGGAGCGGAGGGCTCATGAGCTGAGCCATGGGAATGGGTTTCTGATTACAGCACTAACAGCATGTAGACAGAACTTCACAACACACCACAGGAGACAACAGCTGTTAAAATCAGGCAGCTTCCACAAAGCAAGCCAGCAGATTGGTGTGTGTGTTCTTCCCTCTAAGCAGGTCGGCTGTCAAAAGTTGACACATGGCTGGTTCGGATCCTGGAGCCACGTCCTACACCAGCAGACAGAGCAGCCTCTGCCCCCTTCTGCCCAGGAGATCGATTAGCTCGGTTCGCCTGGCTCTGCCCTTGGCCCTAGGCTTTGAGGTGCCCTGCAGCCTTGGTCTCAGCAAGGGTGTACCTAGGGCTTCAGCCCCCTCTTTCCTGTTCCGGTTAAAATCCTGTTCCTTCTTGGAGAGGAAAAGTGAAAGGAAAGGAACCCATCCTTCCTTTTACTGACGGACAAGCTTTTCATCGATCCCCAGCTTTATGGTAACCACCCGAAGGGCGGCCTCACAGCACACCTCACAGGTCTGCTGGGGGGGGAGACTGAGACACTCACCCCCCACCCCCCATCGCTGCTTCCTTCCCCAGCCTGGACTGCACCAACGAATATTTTGAAATCCTGGACGGTCCTCCATCCTCCGTAACGTCCCTGGGGAAGACCTGCTATGGCTTCTACCTCACCTACTCGTCCTCCTCCAGCTCGATGACCCTGAAGTACTTCCGAAGCTTCAACAACATAGGAAAAAACTTCATTGCTTATTATTATTCCGCAACCAAAGGTAAGAATGGTGGGTAAGATCAAGTGCCTGGAGCTGGACTGTCTCCCTGGGGACAATTATAGTCCCATTGCCACTCTGGGACCTTGAGACTTGCCCTCCCTATGCCTCAGTCCCTTGCCTGTGGCATGGGGACAGTCGTGCAACCTTACTGCTAGGTTTGTTGTGTGGCTACCTGAAATGACACAAGTAAAGCACTTATTGTGGGCCATCAGAAATGCTCGGAGATTTGCAGCTGCACCATGAACTATTTAGTTTTACATAAGCGTCTTCTTAAAGTCCATTTAGTAGGAAGCCGTGTCTGCAGCCACTGCAGACCCCAGGCGGGTGTGTTAGCTCCTACACAAGAAGGTGTGGTGTCAGCCTCAGAGAGGCTCACGCACAACGCAGAGTGAGTTCCAGACAAACTCGGGTGACACCATTAGAAGACAAATAAAATATAGTAGATTAAGGCAAACAAACAGAATATACTAAATTAATGTGGGCATGCATCTCAACCAAAGACATTAGGAAAGAGAAACTGATTTACAGTACAAAAAAAGTGTTAGGGAAAATATAGGAAACAACCTCAGATTTGTCTTTAAACCCAGCAAGGCTGTGAATAGAGAGACAGGAGGTAGGCAAGGCAGGCAAGAGAGCTGTGCAAGCGCACAGATGATAGGGGTAAGGTGTGTGACAATAAGGCAGACAGGAGCTAAGTCAAGGGTTCTGATGAAACGCAGGGTACTCAAGGTCAGGTCATGACCACAGGAGTGATCAAAATAAGACTATACAGAAAGCCTAGTTACTGCCAGACAGCATTTTAAGCACTTCTCACGTGTTGCCTTCTTTAATCCCCATGCAAACCCATGGTTCTTCCCCTTTCACAGATGAGGGAACTGAGGCTTGAGAGAGTCATTAATTGTCCCGAGGTCACCCAGTGATGGGCCCTTCACTATTCACCATTAAGAGAAGAGGCTGAACTCATGGATGGTTCTTCTAGCATCTGCCTTGGCCTGTTCAAATGGTCTTTTAGCAAGCACCAGGGTGACTCACTGAGAAAATGTGGGAAATGTGCTATAAAACACAGCAGGGATGCTCTATGTCACAAAGTATATCAGGGGATCTCACTGTCATTGACATGAATCAGTTATTGATGCCAGTTTCCTTGTATTTGCAGAACCAGTTCCACAGACCCCGCTCCTGACCGGTGAGTCATGTTTACCACTGCTACATAATCTTCACCCCTAGTTCACGTTTCTTCCTCTGTCCCCACTCTTGGTGCTTTCACTGTGCTTTCACAGTCTGATCTTTCACGCATGTCTCTAATTGCCTGCACAAATCTACCGGAGCTGAGGGATTCTGTCCACACACTTTTGCATAAGTGTAATGCTCATTCCCAGGGGAACAAAGTCACACACATCAACAACTAGGTCACTGCATATTCATCATTGTTGATTTGATTTCCTATCAAAAACAATGCAACACACCTAATCAGACATTCCGAATTTCGGGAAAGTCGACAACAATAAAATGAAGCTGAAGCATGCTGAGAAATGGCCATTTTCCCCAGAAGAACCTGATGGTGAGTGCATTTTAGCACAGAAGGGTACAAATTGTATTTCCGGTGACTGAACAGAAAAGGCAAATATTGTTTCCATTGGATCCCACACAGCTGAAAAACATCAAGACCCACAAGTAAAGAAAGTTTGATTTCAGAGGTTACCTCTTATAAAGATGATAGGGAGAAGGAATCTGCCAGAATCTTCATGCTGAGTGGAGAGCTATCTCAGAATGCTGCCATCTTGTCTTGTCCAAGTTCTCCCTTTTTGTTCAATAATATTTTCTTGTGTCCACAGCAATCCCAACGACAACACCCTTGATGGTAACAGCAAGACCAGGTAAGGCCTGGAGTGCATCCTTATGCTTTCCCAGCTGTCCTTTCCTCTTGTCACCTGCATCTGTATCTACTTCAGGGGCAGAAACCAGACAAACTGCAAGTGGTTTGTCTATTTGCAAATGGACCAGTTGACTGTAGCCAAACTTTTTAGGGCCATTCAAAACTATTAGGAACTTTTGTCTCTAGCATGCCAGGGTGAACACAAAGTTCATTTTCTCAGAGCCTTTCAAAGTCATGAAACCGAGCAGGTTACAATGCCTACTAGTACAATTCGATCTTTACATGGCTAGTGGTGATCATAGTTAACCTCATGCCCACATCACTCATAGACGTTTTTAAAGGACGTAGAGTGTCAGAGCCATTCCAGAGGCAGTGAGATGGAATAGCAGAGAAGAAAAGAAAAATGGTGAACTTTGGAATTAGGAGGCCTGCAACTCAGATGTGAGATGTGGGGGGGACTCTCTTTGCTTCTCTATCAGCTTCTTCAGAGAGAAACTCGGTGTGCCCATCCTCCCACAAAGCACCTCACAAAGCCACATACCACGGTGCACATTGTTAATAATGTTCTTCTACATTTAGCCAAAACAGATTGATACATCTCTTTGACTCCATAGTTACTCAGTTCATGACCATTTTAGGTTAAATGGTATTTTGACCATCCTGATGATCTATCAGATCTCCAACCACCAGGTTGACTAGTTGACTGACCTTTACCAAGTTCTCCAACCCAAATAGGAATGCGGGGGCAGGGAGCTCAACCAGCTCACGGGAAGTGTGTGCTGTCTCCAGAGGACAGTGGTCACCGGGTCTCTGCCTGCAGGGAGCTGGCCAGAGCTTCGGCTAGTCGGCGGCTCAGGTCGGTGCTCAGGACGAGTAGAGGTCCTCTACCAGGGGGCCTGGGGCACCGTGTGCGATGACCTGTGGGACATAAGCGAAGCCGAAGTCGTGTGCCGGCAGCTGGGCTGCGGTCGGGCCGTGTCTGCCCTCGGGCAGGCACACTTTGGCCCAGGATCTGGAGACATCCTCCTGGACAACCTCCAGTGCTCTGGGGTGGAGCGCTACCTGGGCCAGTGCGCACACTCAGGCTGGGCGGAGCACAACTGTGGCCACCACGAGGATGCTGGTGTCACCTGCTCAGGTATCCTCTCCTCTTTCATACAGTCACTGCCAGTTTCAAACAGCTTCAAGACCTCGCTGTTGGAATTCAGAGTCATCTAGGGAGAGGACAGGAGCTCAAACACATATCATTCGATTTTTGCTTCAGCTCTTCTAACTTGGTTAAAGAGAGAAGATTTTAAGTGTTAGCCTTTTAGAATAATACCTCCTCATTTTCTAACTTGGTAGTAAGAACCACCAAAGGTGTGTGTGCTTGACTGGATACAGACCTGTGCAAAGCAGATGTTTAATTATGGGAATTTTTAATGTATTTTTAATATTTATTTATATTTTAGAGAGGGGAAAGCAGGGAGAAAGAGAGGGAGAGAAACATCAATGTGTGGTTGCCTCTTGCGTGCCTCCATCTGGGGAACCTGGCCCACAAACCAGTCATATGCCCTGACTGGGAATCAAACCAGAAGCTCTTTGGTTTGCAGGCCAGCTCTCAACCCACTGAGCCACACCAGCCGGGCTAATTATGGGAGTTTTTAAGGAGCCTATCAGCAGGCTTTCCCTTCAAAGGGCAGCTGGTATAATCCCATCAGGGAAGAATTCACAGCTGGAGAGAACTGAGACTGGATCTGAGAGCTGGTGCCAACACTCAACTGCACTGGCAACATGTAGACTCCCAGTTTCATCATCTGTAAAGTGAGGAGACTAATTGCTTTTTTGCAGAATTGCTGAAGGTTTCACACTGTCTTCTGTAAAGCACTCTCACAGCTCCTGGCTGGGGGCTGCATATTTGGCAATTTTTACTGCCATTTTCCTCACTCAGTCATACCACCGAGGAAATCAGTGAACTGAAATGGCTCATTTTAATTGCCTTGTGCCAATTTTTAAAAACACTGTGGCCTTATGTGCAAACAATTAGCTAGGAATAATTGAGTCCCCTCTGGAATGTCTATTAATACCCCCCTCTGATAATGGGATGCTTTTCATAAACTAGCAGCGGTAATGCCTAATGCGACTAGCTAAATCAGGAGCCATAACTCAAAGTGGCCCTCGTCACAGAGATGCCCGTGCGAGGAGCAGCCCAGTCGTATGTCAGTACCCGCTACCTGTGACTTCTGACTGTGGGCACATATAAATCATTATTGCCTTGTTTGCTGTGTATTCGTTTGTCCATCTTTTTGCTTTGTGGCATCGTGTCATGTGTGGCCCGACAGCCTCATGGGGAGGGGGCACATGTCATTTCCAAGTCTCAATCTTCTGGAGGGTGACTGTCTAAATCTGAGGGGCCCCCAAAGACTTCCCAAAGTGAAGTCTTTGTGGCTCATTGCCACAAAGTCGGCACTTTGAGCCACGTCATCACAAGCAGGCCCGTGACATCTGGCCACGTTCTCCAAACACCGAGCAGACCGGCAACCAGACCAAGCTGCCCACCAGGCCCCCGGGGGAACCCGCTTCCCCCCAGATGGTGTCAGTTAAAGGCACTAATGCTCCCTGTGCCAGATCAACACACTCATATAAGGATGTAATTAAAATCTTTGTCTTCAGTTATGAAAAGGCAGGATTTCTAAAAAATACTGACCTAATGATTCTCTGTGTGAACAGATGCGGAGGAATCACTTACTAACAATCCAGGTAGGTCACACTTTTTAAAAATTTTTCGATGGGACTGAAATGGCAGCTGTGTTGATTGGCCCTGGGCCTGTTTCTTCTTCCAGCTCAAAGTTCATCCTCTCTCTAAAGCACAGAGATTTTTCTCACCATTGAGAAGTCATTCAAAAGTCTCATCTGGATTTATTACTTCTGATTTTTTTTACATGTGCTGGTGACTGTGTATGAGAGAGAGATTCACACACAGGCATGGCCTTGCAGGCTCTTTGTGTGCGCTTTCCCCTCTGGCTGGAAGGCCTTTCCCCACTCCCTCCCTGACCAGCTCCTCCTCCCTGTTTTCCCACCCAAGTGCTAATCAAGCTCAACCCTGCTGAGCTTCCTAGATCAGACGAGATCGGGTGCGTTCAGGGTGGTGTGGCTGTAGACTTCTTCTCCCTGTTTTGGGGGACTTCCCAGCCCAGACCACCTCCCCACTTAGTCTCTCCCCTTAGAGCGTTCTGTTCTTTCTCTTCACTGCATCGATCACACTGTGGAACAGTGTGTTAGACTCGTGTCCATATCTGACTAATACGTAGGCTTTAGACTCCCCGAGGGTGAGAACCATAGCTCTTTAGTTTAAGCAGCAGCATCAGTGCCTGACATGAAAGGTAATCTCTCAGAACCATTGAAATAACATTAAACTGGCTAAAGACACCTGCAACGCAGAAACACAGGAGCAACATGCAGGACAGGCCCCAAGGCTGGAGAGCAGGCCATGTTCTTTCCCGACCCCAGAGTCCTCCCGGCCTCAGAGGTCTGGTGCTGGTGAACACCAGGTGGGTCTTTTGAGGGCTCACACCCCATCTTTGCCTGCAGGGAGCTGGCCAGAGCTTCGGCTGGTGGGCAGCTCAGGTCGGTGCTCAGGACGAGTAGAGGTCTTCTACCAGGGGTCCTGGGGCACCGTGTGCGATGACCTGTGGGACATAAGCGAAGCCGAAGTCGTGTGCCGGCAGCTGGGCTGTGGTCGGGCCATGTCTGCCCTCGGGAAGGCCCACTTTGGCCCAGGATCTGGAGACATCCTCCTGGACAACCTCCAGTGCTCTGGGGCGGAGCGCTACCTGGGCCAGTGCATGCACTCAGGCTGGGCGGAGCACAACTGTGGCCACCACGAGGATGCTGGTGTCACCTGTTCAGGTAGCCTCCCCATCTCAGACAGTAATTTCCATGTTGTGTATGAAAGCACTTTGAAACCATGCATCCCAGATGAAATCTTAATCCACCCACCCATCAATTCTTTTACCAAACAATCTTTAGCTCTATCCTGCCCCTGGGCTCAGACCCAGGTCCTCCATGGGCAGCTCCAGGTTGCACATGGGAGGTCTCAAATGTTCGTGTGCACCAGCACCACCCGGGGCATCACAATGCAGAATCCAGGGCCCGCCCCCAGAGATGATGACTAACTGAGTTTGAAATGGGGCTCTGGAATCTGCATTTTAACAAGTATTCCAGGTGATTCCGCATTAGAGGGGCCACAGGCAAGCCAGTCCTGACTCCTGAGAAGCAGTGCCCCCCAGCTGCTGTGCCCTGCCCCCTGAGACCAAGGACCCTGCCAGAGGAGGGCTGGAATTGCCCAAGGGGGGAGTTCTGGTGCTCTGGTTTCCTGCCCAGAAAGACCATGGTCCTTTCCCTTCATCCCCCACACATGCCCCTCTTACCCCACATCCTCCCTGCTTTGAATTCACTAAAGAGAGTGACCTGTTGCCTTTCTTAATGCATCCAGATGCAGAAGACCTGCCTCCTCCCACATCTCCAGGTATGTCCATATTTTTCTAGTCCAAGCAACTTAATGCTACCGATGATGTCAAATACATATAAATTTTGAGAACCAGATGCTGTTCTGAGCTCTTTGCATTAATGATTCATTTAATCCCCACAGTAACTCTTGAGGCAAATACTTTGATTTTTCCCATTTTCCAGATGGGTAATTGAGACAAGAAAGTTAGCAGTGTATCCAGGACTAGCCAGTGGATTTGCAGCCGAGCTGTGGGTGCCCTTGGGCACCAGTCTCGTTTACTACACTTGTCTCTTGGCCCTGCTACACAAAGACCAGGCAAAACAAGAGCAGAAACGGGGAGACATTTTGCTTGGATCATCGGCGATCCCTAGGACAATCCTGCAAGAAGGACATTTGATATTATATTTTACAGAAGAGAAATGTGAGACGCAGGAAGTTTAAGTAGCTTTCCTAAGCTTGCTCAGCAGGCGACTGGCAGAACCAAGTTTTGACACTGATCAGCCTGACCCCAAAGAACATGCTCTTGGGGATTTTATGAACTTGTCTGTTTTCAAAGCTCTTATACCTTAATGATTAAATGATATTCCTCTGCAATAAAAATCAAAGATTAGAAAAAGCAGACCGACACCTGTGGCGTAAAGTCTGAGGCGATGCTGGGGGTGAGTGAAAAGGCATCTCACTCAGCAACAGACATTTCTGAGCTTCTGGGCAGCAGTGGGCGTCCTGCTGGGGGTTTCTTCGGGAGTTGGTTTATTTAATCTTTGCTGCTGAGGACTAGGTAGAGGGAGAATCCCACTGAAGATAAGTCGATTACTCGGTGTCAGAACTGGCATTTTCAAGCTCTGTCTCTTGGTCTTTGAACGCCCCTGGCTGTCCCCACAGAGCCTCAGAGAACACACACAGGTCACAGGTCATTGGCAGAAGCATCTCTCTTGGGCACTTGCCTGGAGAAAACCTTGATGTGTTCTGGATGTTCCTGGGGATGGCCAGCTTTATGTGCTGGGGTCATGTGTGAGAGGGGGAGGGCTGTCTCAAGTCAAAGGGCCATGGTTGGGGTCAAGGGCAATGCATATTCACATGAACACTCATCTGCAGTTTTCTTATTCCATGTAACTCAGGGAAGCTTAAACTTCCACGGAAATGCAGAAGGCCCCACCGAGTGAAATAAGCCATCTGGTTATCATTGTTAACCGCCTCCCCGACTCTGTTTTTTTCTTTCTAGGTCTTTCTACAGCTTCTCAGGATCATATAACAGGTAATCACTTGTTTTACACTGAAATGGTAACTCCATGCTAGAAGAACCCTTGAACTAGGTGCTGGGCAGTGTGCCCAGGCCATGGAACAGGGAGACTGGCACGGTGAAAGCCAGGGCAGCCAGGGCCTCAGCTGGAGGAGCCCCTCCATCCCCACCACGGCCTTGCTGAGGGACATGGCATCGGGACACCTGATGCCTGTTAACATTGATTTTTTTGACAAAAGGAGCAGGCTGGGAAGGGGACATGTGGGTCTGCCCAGCTCAGAGCAGGCAGGAGGGTGACCAGAGACTGGAAAAGCATGTGGCTCAGTCTGTCCAGCCACACTCAGCCTGCCTGCTCTGGGGGCAGCCCTGGAGCAGCACCCTGACGGGCACCAGTCCGTCATCCCCCGCCGTGTGTACAGGTTGCAGGAAGTCCGAGTCCCAGTGTGAGTCTGACCTGACCCTGGTTATTAGAACCTACAAATGCAATCAACATTAGAATTATAGATGACTGGGTGCCTCACCACATCCCACATCCATCACAGAAAAGACCAGGAATCTGTGGGATTCTGGGAAGGTTACAAGTTGGCTGGGGTGAAGGGTGGGGGCGACAGAAAGAATGAAATTAAATAACTTAATAATTTAGGGAGAAGGTCTGTAAAGTGTACTATGTGTTCAAATTTTCTCTAAAATAATGTAATGATTCTGTGTCCTGTTTTTTTATGTGACATACTGCTTTACACATGTATTTTACATTTACATATGTATTATTATGTGTGTGTAAATGGAATCTATTTATATTAATAAGATGATTTATATAGAAGGATTAGATCTCACTGTTATCTTGTTTAACCCTTATAAATCCAAAAACCTTTAAGTTCCAATCTCAGTAGATACTGAGTAAAGGAAACAGCTTACCCAGAAAAGTGATGAAAGTACTTAAAAGGAGGTCCTGGTTATAACCTCCCCAAATTGTTCTAGAAAATTGCCCTAACCCTAACCCTAACCCTAACCTTCTTGTCCCCCAAACCTCCTCTTCCCCAGGCACATGACAGCGCTTGATTTTTTGTCCCTCCTCCTGACCTCTCATGCACCTGTGTCTCTCGTGGATTCTGCCTCTCTCCCATCAAGCAAGACACCTTTCACTTCAGAAAGAGGGAGCGATTATAAACGGACTGGACAAACACAATATTTTCTTTATCAGATGATGGGGGAGAGGGAAAGGCAGGGAACTCTCACACATTAATCCTTTCTGAGCCATCAGAATCAGGGCGAAAGGACTCTCCTTCCCAGGAGACATTTAGGCCCAAGTTCCATTCAGACAGCCTAGTGTGTCCCCACCCAGGGTCTGCCACTAAGGGCACCCAGCCTCGGGGTGGGAGCTGCTCATTGCTGAGGTCACACAAGGGACACCTTGTGGATGGATCCTGACGTCCTTTGTCTTGCTGCTTCAGGAGGAAGTTACTCTTGTGGAGAGGTCATTTCCGGTTTTGCCGGCTCATTTTCTACCCCCCAGTATCCAGAAAACTACCCGACAGACATCCAGTGTGTTTGGGAGATCCACGTGGATAAAAAATTCCGCATCAAACTCAAGATTCTGAGTTTGAGGTAAGAAAACAACTTTTTAGGGAAAGAGTCTATCTGAATAAGACTATTGGCATGTGAAATCATAATAAAGATAGTTATTTTAACGGAAAACCATTAGGGATAGAACCAGAAGAAACATGAGTTTTTTTCTATGTTGAAACTCGGGTTAATTTTGTAGTGCTAGCCAATGAGTCACTTCTAGCTTGACAAATTCAGTGGTATGTATTACTGCATTTGTTATCATCGTATTTTAATAGTTTTTCTTTCAATATGATTTTTTTTCTAAAAATGCCACAAAAATCCTTCTCACCAGCTTTGCCCTCATTGTATACTGGGTACCAATATTTGTCCTCTTGGACTTTCTTTTCCCTTTATCCAAATTTCAAACATACAGTAAGAGCCTTTCCACGCAAACAACAGCCAACAACGCCAGCCGTGGGCCTGTATCTTCTAAATGTTGGCACAAAGGAACAGGAGACAGTGGAGTCATTGCCTTATTTCTGATGCGAAGAGAATGAATTTTCCAAAGCCACTGCCATTTGTATGTCCATGACTCAAAATGAAAGCTGACACGTGTTTAGTGTTAGCTGAGTGCCAGGCTCTGTGCTGTGTACTTTGTGACCTTTGTCTCATTCCAGCATCACTACAGCCCTAATCTAGCTGTCCTTGTCTTCCCCATGAGAGATGAGGAAACTCATCCCCATGAGAGATGAGGCTCAGAGAGGTTAACTCACTTGCCCAAGGCTAACCCCCACGTCCGTCCGAGGTCAAAGCCCCAGCTCATCACCATCCTGTATGCAGAGTGTCCGTGAAGCTCTTCCTCCGGTGTATGTTACAGACACGGCCATGCTGTCCAATTCTGTGATAATCCACCATTCACACGCCCAGTCAATGGAGTCAGACAGGCCTATGCCACAGAATAGCCTAGAAACATGTTACCCTAAGGACACAGCCTCCTACAAGAAAGCAAAAACCTTGAACTCACACCCCCAGGGTCTATCATGTTATCAGTTGTCTGTTCCTTCAAAATCACCCCTCATACGCATCCCTCCTGAATAATCGCCAAAGCGCAAATTCTCTCCTATACAGGAGTGGGCAAGAGTAGATTACAGATGCTAGTATGGAAAATAAGACAATAATTAATAAACAATAATACAAGAAAAAGCTCTGTTTCATGTACTCACTGCTGTAAATCTGCCCACCCTTGTATGCTGGCATTATTATTTTAGAAGCATGTTTGTTTTCTACCCAAGAATTTGGATTTGGAAAACGTTGTGAAATGCAGAGGTAGAAAAAAACTGGCTGTGATGTCGGCTACATGCTGATCATTTGACTGCTGAGAATTTTTTCACAGTGCGCATTAGCATTTCTTGATGTTTCCTGTCGGTTGTGATTGGCTAAAACTGTGATTTTAAAATTCCTGTTACTATGTTAAGTCATTATTGCCAGTCTCACTCCTTCCTCAGGCAGAGAAAATAAGAGTTCTGGTAATAAGGCATCTGGAAAAGCTCACTGATATTTTATATACACATGTGCAATTTAAAACCTAATCCAAACATTTTGTGCTGTGATTGCTTTAAGGTCTAGAAAGTTCTAGCATGCTGCTAACCTCCACTTTGACCCCCTACAGCCTTGAAAGTATCCGCGGATGCCCCTATGACTCAGTCGAAATCTTCGATGGCCCCAGAATTGCTGCTCTCTCCATGGGGAAGTTCTGCGCCCCGGAAACTCTGGTGTTTCTGTCCTCCTCAGACATCATGACAGTGGTGTTCCGAAGTGATTCTATGGTCACCAGCACTGGCTTTCATGCTGTGTTCAGCGCGACCCCACAGGACGAAAGAGAGTCAGGTAGGAAGCATCAAATCGTCTGTAAAGGACAGCACAGCTTTCTAAGTTGAGGGACTTCCCCATTAGCAGATGCCTGAGATTCGGTTTTAAAAGACCCTCCCACTTCTGTCCTGGCCAGTGGGTTCATTCCCCAGTCAGGGCACAGGCCTACACTGTGAGTCTGGTCCCTGGACAGGGTACATAGGTGAGGCAACCAATCGATGTTTCTCTTGCATCACTGTTTCTCTCTCCCCTCCCTTCTTCTCCCTCCAAAGTCAATAAGCATGTCCTAGAGTGAGGATTTAAAAAACAAACAAAAAACCTTCACACTTAAGACCATCAATTCTGCCCCATAGCTGCTGGGTGTTCCCACTGAGAGTGTCACATGGGCAGCTGAAATAAGTAACCTCAGCCAGTGTCCTAGCTCTGGCTGGTCGGACCACAGCTGTGGTCACCACAAGGACACTGGTGTCATCTGCTCAGGTAGCCTCCCCATCCCATGGCAGGTTCTTTCTGATCTTTCAGCCGGTGCCATCTTGGTGATGGGTGGAGGTTGTGTCCAGAGCAGGGCCAGGGACGCTAAGAACTGTGGCCCAACAGATCAATGTCCCTCAGCCAGGTTGACAGAGGATGCTGGGAGCCTGACTCCACTCTGCAGTCACACACAGGAGGGCCACAAAATGGGCAGGCGGGTCCTGTTCTCTGCAACCTCTCCCAAAGTCTTAACAAGCCTTTGTTATTGCTTGTGTGGCATGAAGCCTGTCTACTTGAGACCTGCCCATGCTAGAAAATCACTTCTTTGCCTTCATTAAATTGAATTTAGATTTCATAAATGTACGTTTTTCCGTGCCAGCAGATGTTGGGGACTGGGATCCAGATGTCACTCCTACATCCCTAGATAAGTTGGACACAAAGTGAATTAGAAGTCTGACCTTCATCCAGACCTAGACCCTGGGGGTTAGTAACCTAGATACTAAACCAACCCCCCAAGGAGTTTTCCCAAGGTCCAGGCTGCCCCTTAGCCCAGTCACACCAGAATCTCTAGGGTCACACTTGGCCATCAGCTGTATCCAAAGCTTCCCATGGGATCCGGATGTTCAGCCGAGGTTGAGAACCAGTGTCCTGGACCATGAGCTAAGAGCTACATCTCCCAAATGAGGTGAAATCCAAAGCTCTCCTCTCAGAAAAGCAGAGCAAGGAAGGGCAGGTTCACTCATTTGGACTTCAGTAGAAAATTATTTTTATGATGCTAAGCTCTTTCCTGACTGTCTTGGGGTTCACACCCCAATCACTTTTGCAGGTGCTGTTCCTCAAGCTTCTATACCACAAGGTAACTCTCCTTCAGTGCAAGTATAACCTGTAAAGGATGGAATCTCGATGGTAATTCATAAAAGCAGGGTACCATCTGTGTGTCCTGGCCTCCCTGAGAGGGAGGAATTGGTGGGTTGGCGCCCTCACAAAAGGGTTGTGAATTCACCTGGTTCGCACGGCAGGAAGCCAGGGAGAGCTTTAATGAAGCCCGGGCTGGGCACCTCACTCCTGCCACCTCCCTGCCCAATCCCGTCTCCAGTCTCACCTACAATCAGCTGAGGGTGCTGCCCACGTCCTTCCGCCTCCCTCGTCCCCCCACCCTGAGCGGTGCAGTCACACACCAGCCAGGCCTCGGCCCTGTCTGCACCAGCACGACCCATTCCCATTTTGTGATTCACTGTTGAGCTTGGTGGAATTCTGGCTTCTGCGCCTGGGAAAATGTAATATGCTGTCCTGAAAACGCTACCTGTGGGCCTTTTGTCTGCTTCTACAGGAGGAAGTGGCTCTTGCGGGGGAGTAATTTCAAGTCTGCTGGGCTCCTTCTCCAGTCCTTGGTTCCCTACAAACTACCCCACTGACATGCAGTGCGTCTGGGTGATACACGTGGCTAAGACGTTCTACATCGAACTGACCATCCCGAGCCTGAAGTAAGCAGCTTGGCTTTTCTCTGCTTCAGAGGGTTAGGGTTAGATCAGAATCCGTGCTTTCCTCAAAGACGTGGCATTTCTGTGTCCTGGTTTGCCCCGGCTTCTATAACAAAAATGCCGTAAACTGTGCGGCTTCATAAACAACAGACATTTCTTTCTTATAGTTCTGGAGGCTAGAAAGTCCGAGATTGATACATTGGTAGATTTAGTGTCTCACAAGGGACCATTTTGTCACAGATGATGGTCCTTTCCCTATCAACTCCCATGGCAGAAGGGACGAGGGAGCTTTATTGGGTCCTTTATAAGGACACTAATCGCACTTGTCAGGGTGCCATGTTCATGACCTAACCACTTCCCAAAGGCCCCACCTCCTAATACTGGTACACTGGAGGTTGGATTCCAACATAGGAAGTCTAGGGGACACAAACATTCCGTCGATAGCACCGTGGGACAAATCCTTTTACGTTTTAGGTGAACATTGGTCTGGTCCTCTGAGTTTAGGGGAGTCTTTTCATCACTGAGCTCAGCTTCTTGTGCAACTAGAGAATATCCCACAAGCGTCCCTGACCCCAAGCCAACAAGCCTCAGCCGGGGTGACCCGCCGGGAAGACCTCACCCCTCCGCTCCCAGCCAGCTCCACCCGGGCACACAGTGCCTCCCCCCGACTGAACCCACACCTGTTCTTCTGTCCCTTCTTCTGACCTGCATTCTTCCCCGCGATGCTACACAAGACAAACCTACCCCCACCCCTTCTCTATCGAAGATGTTTCCTCTGCAAATTCCCTAGCCTCCGTCCACTCGTTTCTTTCATCACGTGCCTTGGACTTCCCATTTCTTTCTCCAACCAGCACCTATTTTTAAAGAAATTCGCCCTATTTTAGTACCTATTTATATGTGTATATAGGTCTATGCACATGCACACACAAGTCACTTTTTAATCAAAGTTACTTTTCCTAATAACATTTAACCCTGGTTCCATCTTCCCACACTGGTCTCACGTGGGTCAGCCTCTCTTCTTCACATTGTCGCACAGTCTGTCCGGGACCTTCCGTCTACGCTCATTGGCCACAGCAGCCAAAGATCTGAATGGCAAAATGCTGCCTTCAAACGTAAAATGGGGAGGCAGTGAGGGATGGAACCGATATATTTATCAGTCATTCATTCATTCACTCACTCACTCATTCATTTCACACACATTTGCTTGTTGAAAGCAATGTGGGAAGATTTGGTATCATGTAGTTCAAATCTATTAAATGTTCAGCTCTGGCATTTTGGGACACAGAGTACCATTTCATCACTTCTGGAAAACAGCTGTTATTTGGGACATAAAGTTAGTAATTATTTGCTCCAGTGAGTCTCAGCTGGGAACAGCTATACCGCCTCACAGGACATTTGGGTATGTCTGCAGATATTTTTGATTGTCACCATGGGGGGTTGCCACTGCCACCTGGTGGGTGGAGGCCAGCAATGCTGCTAAGGATCCTACAGTTCGAGGGTCCCTAACCCCTGGGCCATGGACCAGTCCATGGCCTGTTAGGACCTGGACTGCACAGCAGGAGGTGAGCGGCGGGTGAGTGAACAAAGCTTCACTCACATTACTTCCTGAGCTCTGCCTCCTGTCTCTACCCCCACCCCCCCCCAGCCCGTCCATGGAGAAATTGTCAAAAAGTTGGGGACCGCCACCAAGACAGCTCCCACAGCAAAGAATTATCCAGCCTCCATTGTCAATACTGCTGAGACAGAAATCTTAATTTGCACCGAAGCTTGCCTCACTTTTTTCTATTTCAGCTTCTATAAGGTTTTGCTTCACACTTGATTTGTTGAAATTATATCCATATATAAAGTATGCTATTTCATTCTTTCTAAGTGAGTTATGCTTTATTTTCTAATGAAATGACTTCTGAGATTGGAAGGCCACCTTACATAAAAATAGTATCACTTTTTCTTTAAAAACTAAAAATTGGTTCTTTTGAGGTTCTTGTCTCTTACTTCATTGGAACAGATGTGTTCTGCATGGAGCACGTTTTCAAATTCAGCAGTTTGCATACAGGTGGAATTGTGTCCATTGTATCTATATCAGGCAATGAGCACTTACATGCACCAAAGTCTACTTACTGCTATTTAAATGCAAATGTGTGTGTTGCATTTCTATCATGTTAGGTACATGTTGATGTTCTTTATTTTTTTTAAAAAAAATTTTAATAATGATTTTATTTATTTCTATTTAGAAAGAGGGGAAGGGAGGGAGAAGGAAAGGGAGAGAAACATCAATGTGTGGTTTCCTCTCACATGGCCCCTACTGGGGACCTGGCCTGCAACCCAGGCACGTGCCCTGACTGGGAATCAAATCAGTGACACTTTGGTTCACAGCCAACACTCAGCCCCCTGAGCTACACCAGCCAGGGCTCAAATGTTGATGTTCTTTAAATGCGTGTTTATTGAGTCCACTCTGTGTGGGCACCAGTCTAGGCATGGGCCTGTAGTGCTGGGCGAGACAACAAGACAGACTTCACTGCCCTTGTGAAGTTTACAATCTAGACAGGGAGACAACTAGCACTTGAATAAAACAAAACTCGATAGGCAGTTTCAGTTAGGGATAAGGTGGTAAGTGCTGCAAAGAAAATAGATGCATGCGTACACGGGAACCGGATGGAGAGTGACAGGGGCACAGGCAGCACTAGGCGGGGTGACCAGGGACAGCCTCTCTGATCACCCAGGTCAGATGAAACTTGTCAGGAAACATGTGAACAAGGAACTCGCCACATTGGGCAAAGAGTCCTACCCAGCAGGCCCCTGGAGCTTTGATAGCCGTCACCATTCCCCCTGGCTCCTGTGAGAGTTTTACTCAGTGACACCTAGTGGACATTTGCCACCGCCCCAGAGAGTGGCAGAGTTTGAATAAAGAGTCAGGAGACCTACAGGGGACCCTCAAGGCAGAGATGGAGACGGTGGGAGGGACTGAAAGCCTGGACAGCAGTTGGGGGCCGGGGAGGGGAGCTGAGATGGGATGCAAGGCGGACAGACCTGGGCCAGCCCCACGAGGGAAGGACAGGGGTGAAGTCCATTGGTGGGGTGTGTGGCTGGAAGGGGGTAGCAGGGCCGATGGCAGTTTCTTGCTGGATGCAAGGCAAATACTGATTTTATTTAAGACATTTCTACAGATGTCCTTCGGGAGGTTAACTCTGAGTTACCGCCTCAGGTTAGAAGACGTCTCTGGGTGCCCCTATGACTTTCTTGAAGTGTTCGACGGACGGCAAGCTGCCTCCCGCTCCTTGGGCAGATTCTGCGCTGGGGCAGAGCTCAGCTTCCTCTCCTCTGCGAACATCATGACCGTGGTGTTCAGGAGCGACGCCATGGTCACCAACACGGGGTTTTACGCCCAGTACAAAGCCACCCAGCCTGACGAAAGGGAGAGCGGTAGGTACCCTGAAGTGTACCTTGCAGGGGCTCCATCTAATCTGTGTCCTTTCCCTTGAAGAGAAGAGGCGCTTCCCAAATCTGGCCTGTGGAGTCCACCTTCATTAATGATGGCCTGAGGGACATCCGCTCTGACACCAACAGCCTCCAACTGTCCCCCCCATCGCCCCACTCTGACACTCACCGTCATTTTCCCTCACCAAAGCACTGTCTGGGACAGCGGGCGGCTGAGTCTCCCGCGGTGTCTTTGCTGTGTGTGCACGTGGGGGCCCAGACGAGCACCTCGCTGCTCTCCGAGGCAGGGGAGCACGCAGTCGGCAGAGCCGCTGGAGCAAAACTGTCCAGCGGCAGCCATCTGCCCACCTCCCTCCAGCTGAACTCAATACAAAAACCACCACAGCACTTGCACAGCAGGACATGGGGACATTTCAGAACTCTCAGTGGGTTACGCTTAGGGAGACCATGTAAGTCATCCTCCATTCGGGATACTTTTGAGAATTTTAAAGGAACTCTAAACCAATGCACAAGCATTCATGGACCTACGATAGCCATAAAGCAGGACTGTTCCAGGCAGATCAGGACATAGGGCCACTCTCTCTAGTGTCCAACAGCAAATACGGGACATGTGCCCATGTCTACTGGGCATTCCCCATCTGAAGAAAGTCCTAGGGTCTGGAGACGGCACCACAGCTCAGAAGCCTGCCTTTCTGTCGCCCAGGTGTGTCCCTGAGACTGGTGGATGGCAGCCACAGGTGTGAGGGCCGGGTGGAGGTCTTCTACAACGGCACCTGGGGCACCGTGTGTGATGACAGCTGGGACCTGAGAGATGCCAGCGTGGCGTGCCGGCAGCTGGGCTGCGGCAAGGCCTTGTCGGCCCCGGCCCAGAGCTTCTTTGACGGAGGGACCGGCCACATCGCGCTGGATGACATGCGGTGCACCGGGAACGAAGCCCAGGTGTGGCAGTGCGCGCACAGCGGGTGGTTCTCCCACAACTGCGGGCACCACGAGGACGCCGGCGCCGTCTGCTCAGGTGAGCCCCGTGGAGAGCCCCGTGGAGCACAGCACACCTCACAGCGCCACGAGCAGCGGCCTCTGGGAAGGGGGAAGTCGGTGCCAGCAGGCAGTTACTCAGAATGGAGCGCTGGGCTCCAAACCATCTTTTTAAGTGGGCTGACTTCAGAATTTGTTTTCTTTCCCTTCAGTTGTGGTACCTGTAAAAGTGTCGAGGTTCCCACCTTGAAGGTGGCGGGGATTCATTAGAGGGTGTGAGTCATCAGACATCCCAGTCCTGGGTAGACAGGCCACAGTGTCGGTGCTGACCCACGCTCCCCCGAGTAGGACTAGTAGCTGGTGCCCGCAAACTGCCCAGCGCCTCCAGGCTCCACACTGCAACCAGTGCGCATTCTCGGTTCGTCTCCACGCCCAGTGAAACCGAGCCCACTGGCACCCTTGTTTCATGGATGAGGCAGCAGGGGCACTGCCAGCACCCCATGGTGGGCCTTACCCTGTAAGTATGGCCTCCGAGGAGCCCTGGGAAAGAAGGAGCTCAGCTCCGTTACCAAAGCACCTTCACCCCATCCCTGAGCCCAAGTGAAGAAATCCGAGTTTCCAAGTTTAGTGCTTCCAGCAGCTAGATGAGGGCCCTCAGGGGCCTGAAAGCCCGTGGGCATGGCCATGGGGGCCAATCCTGGACCAGCACGGATGGTTTCCGATACTACGCTCACATCTGCCCAAAGGAGGATGTGCTTGATCCTAACAAAAAGTGCCTGATTTTCTTCTATGGAGGATGTGACGGTCTTAATGCGTCTGTCCATCTCTCTTCTGTCTTTGCGTGGGTGTCGATGGCAATCCCGAGGCAGGACCCTCAGGTACTGCTCTTCTGTGCACTTCAACCCGCCGCCAGTCCCCAATACCTGTGGGTTCTAGCTACTCCTCATCCTGACGTTGGGGCCTGAGCAAATGAAATTCTCTGTTTCTAAGTAACAACAGCAACGCAGCTCATTAGCACGGACATAATGGTGGGGCTGGAAGACACAGAGGATAGGGAGACAGGCAGGAGGGAACGAGAGCTCAGATTCACCAGCAAGGCAGTTTCTGGGCCAGTGGTTCCGAGTCGGTGCCTGCAGAGAGGGGGGCTAAGGGTCTGCAGCGCCAGTCATGCTCTGGACACTGCCGAGAGCGGGAATATAACAGATACTCAGGCTCAGCCCTCAATGGGCCGTAGCAAACTTCACCCGCCTGCACCTGTGGTGTACAAGCGTCCAAACTCATGAAGAGCCAGAGTCCTCTCTGCCCACGGGGGCACAGCTTTGAGTGTCAATATTTCTGAGTGTCTCAGAGGAGTGTTTATTCTGGATGAAAGACCTCACTCACAGTGTCATTTTTCTCTCTGTGTATTTTCAGGGTCAAGTGGTGACAGCCCCCCGACAGGTACAGGTACGTCAGCTTTCTTTAGACCCTGCACGTGTGGTTTCTATTTGCTCTGCTTTCAGTTTCGGCATTTGCAGCAACTTGATGAATGCTCTTCCCTCCCTTTATAAGTGAGAAGCTGCGGGAAAGAGGGGCTTTTAACAAATTCCACCCTGACTCCAATATTTCAGATATGAGTTGGATGCTTTGAGTAACCTTGGTGTTGATCTCAGCTAGGATTGGTGTGTAACATGAGAGATCTTCTACTGCAAGCTGTTTCAGAATGCACCGTGCTGAGGGAGGATGCTGCTGCTCACATCGTCTTTGCATCCTTTGCACTAACACGCGTGCTGAGACCTGTCTGTGCGTGTGGGTTCATAAAGTCCTGTCAACCGTGTGTCACAATCATTTCCTCTCAGAGAAGCCCTGTCACCCGACAGGACACCCACAATGCTCTGAGCTGACGTGGGAAACTCGGAAGACTCTCCAAAGCTAACTTTTTGGCTGCCAGCCAAAGCAGCCCTAGGACAATTTCTGACTCCTGCCCTCACTCTGTCCCCTCTGGACCCCTCCAAAAGCACCAGCCGGAGTCAGAGCCCCTCCCCATGGGATTTCGTCACTGTTTCTTGCAGATGAAAATTTCCACTGTGGCGGTTTGCTCACAAATGCTTCGGGCTCCTTCACCAGCCCTTGGTACCCTGAAAAGTACCCCACAAATGTGACATGTGCCTGGGACATACAGGTGGACGACAGGGCTCATGTCAAACTAACACTTGACATGCTGGCGTGAGTAAAATTTTCCTGTTTTTTACTTTACTCTTCCGTAGCTTGTTCTGGCCCACACCCACCAACCCATCCCCTGCCCCAAAAATAAATAAATAAATAAACAACTTGCATATTTAATTCTCAAAAGTGAGGCAAGCCTTGGAGGCCCACTTAGTAACAGGGATCAGCATGTGACTACACAGACCTGTTAACCCAGCAGTTCCAGCTCCAGGAGCTTGGTCTGCAGAGAGAGCCTCATGGCATGGAGAACCACCGTGGGGCGGGGCGTCTCACGGGAGCCATAGGCTGGGAAGGACCTGATCGCCACGGCAGCAGGGCCGTTAACTGGAGCCTGGCACGTCCGCGCACTGCTGCCGTGCATGGGGGCGCGCTGCCGCGGAGCGGTCTGCAGGAGACCGCGGGTACCCGCCCTGCAGCCGCCTTCGGTGCACAGGCCGCGCGTGGAAGGAAGGAGAACCGTTGGTCCCAGCTGCTCCTGGGAAGGGGGATGAAGTGAGGGGGGCAAGTCAGGGGGTGGGAGGAAAACGTGCTTTTCACCCAAACACCGGTCAACACTACTTAAATTATCTTCCTTGCACTTGTAGTAAGTATTCCAAAAATACAGTCGGATGAAAACATTCAACATGAAAACATTTTTGGAACGGAAAGGTACACACTGCCTACATCCACAGGGTCTTCATTTCCTTCAACCTGTGTGAGGGGATGCAGGTTTCAGGCAGCTTCTCCGGAACCTTCCCTGAACCAATCCGAGTAGCGGTGACTGCGGGAAAAGCCCCAGTGGTTTGAGACGGAGGGATGTGGTCACTTCACAGGCAGCAGGATGTCCACGGCTGTCCGTACGACTTCGTCGAAATCTTCGATGGCCCGCAGAATGAATCTGTCTCCCTGGGGAGGGTCTGTTCCGGCACAGCCCCAGCATTTACCTCCTCCTCAAACCGCTTGACAGTGGTCTTCCACAGCACCGACATCGTCACCAACAGTGGCTTTCGTGCCACCTATGAGTCCATCATGCAAGATGAGAATAATACTGGTAGGTCCTTCGGTCACCTTAGTCCCTGGTCCTGCGGGGTGATGATGGCAAGGTCGGACAGCCAACTCTGAGCCTGGGGACTAGGGGTGGGAAAGGGGTCCCCTTGCTCCTTAGTTTACCCCCCAGACCTGCCTGGAGGGGGTGGCTGAACACCCAACACGGGTGGCTGGACCACACGCACCTGTATTCCGACATCAGGGTGCATCCTCTGTGCCGAGAAGGGGAACTGGGCCCGTGCCGGCTTTGAGTCCCCTGCACTGCAAGTGCGTGGGGAGGTCCTTTCCTCCTGCCCAGGGGACGCTGCTCCTGACCGAGGGCAGGAACACTGCGGGTTCATATCCCTGGTGTGTCCCAGTCAAGTGCACAATCTTGTCTGGGAAAGAAGCTTTAAAAACAAAAAAGTCACACTGAATAAGCAATGGCACCTGAACTACGTTGTCAGCCACTCCAACCCACCACAGTTCCCTCCCCCCCGAGTAAGAGCAGAGTCCCCCCACGCCCAGAGCCGGTCAGCTCAGAGGACACTCCAGGTCTTCCTCGAAGGCAGTGACAAGGGGCTGTGTCTGCGTTTCCAGGTGTGGCCCTCAGGCTGGCCAGTGGCGGTCACCGGTGCGAAGGCCGTGTGGAGGTGCGCCGCAATGGGACCTGGGGGACGGTGTGTGACGACGGCTGGGACTTGCGTGATGCCCAGGTTGTGTGCGGGCAGCTGGCCTGTGGCGGGGCTGTGGCAGCCCCCAGGGGAGCACGTTTCGGCCCAGGCCGGGGCCCCGTCGCCTTGGACAACGTGGAGTGCGTGGGCACCGAAGATAGACTGTGGCAGTGCCCGCACGGCGGCTGGTTCTCCCATGACTGCGGCCACCACGAAGACGCCGGCGTCATCTGCTCCGGTGAGTTGACTCTCAGGCAGCGGGTGGGAGGAATGACATTCCCCACTGCACTGCGGGGGAATCCTGGGCTGTGCTCGGCCACCCTGTCCCAAGCACCAGCCTTACAGGTGTCCCTGCACGACCCCTGCCACACCCACTGACCGCCCACACTACTAATTTTCTTAAGAGTTCCCTTTACCTGGACTCTTCCTGCCTCACTTAGATGAATTCATTTCACAAACACTTTAGATCAGCACCAGAAATGCAGAGCCTGGATGGATTGCCTTAAATGGTACATACAAATAAATGCAGCAGCGGTAAAACAATGTTAAAGTATTTCAAAATTAAAATACCGCCCTGGCTGGTGTGGCTGGGTTGGAGCGTCGTCCTGGTAACTGAAAGGTCAGGAGTTTGTTTCCGGTTCAGGGCAATGCCTAAGCTGTGGGTTCCATCCTGCTGGGGCACGTACGAGAGGCAACTGGTCGATGTCCCTCCCTCACATCGGAGTTGCCCCCTCCCTCTCTCCCTTCCCCTCTCTCTAATGTTAGTAAGCATGCCCTTGGGTGAGAAAATACAGTGCACTAGTTTATCTAATCGATTCATACCATGTGTATCTGAAAATATCCTTAACTAGAATAAACCAAATGTGAATCTTTTAATTTTAATACAATAAATATGTAACTCTTTTTTTTTAATTTTATTTATTTTTTTAGAGAGGGAAGGGAGGGAGAAAGAGAGAGAGAGCGAAAGATCAACGTGCAGTTGCTGGGGGCCGTGGCCTGAAACCCAGGCATGTGCCCTGATTGGGAATCGAACCTGAGATGCTTTGGTTTGCAGCCCGTGCTCAACCCACTGAGCTACGCCAGCCAGGGCAATATGTAACTCTTAAGACAGAAAATGTACCACCTGGGATAATCTCCCTCCACCAGTCAGGAGTCAGGCCTCTGGGAACCGTCCCTGTGGTTCAACCCCTGACCCCCGTTGCGTTTCTGCAAATAAGTTCAGGGGTTGGAGTCGAGAGCCCCCACCTATCTCCCTGTCCTTCTAGGCGTGGCTAGGAGGAGGCAAACTGGCTTACTGTAGGCCTGGCTGCAGTGACAGGAGGAAGGGCAAACAGGAGGTGGGCTACTGGAAGGCTCTGGGAAGGAGAGGAGAGAAGTCCAGGGACAGAATCAGTGTCCTGAGCAAAGCAGGAGCTGAAGTCGTGCCGAGTGTGACATCATGGCAATGTCTGTCACACCGAGTGTGACATCAGAAGACAGGCCCGGGAGGCGGGGCCTAGAGAGCAGGGAGGTTTGGAAGCAGGGCCCAGGGCAGGGCGATGGGTGAGGGGTCAGGGGAGAGGGAAAGGTCACAGGCAGCAGCTCTGAGTCCCTTCCTCCCGGGCCCTGGAGCTCCAGGCCCAAGTCCACGCCCACTCCCTCCAGCTCCCTGCTGGTGCTGCAGGTGCTGGTGCTTGTCTTTGAGACACCATGGCTCTGCCCTGGGAATGCCATGTACTCTGGGAGGCAAGAGACACACACCCAGGGAGAATGACAAACCCAAAGCCACCAGCAGATAGATGCTCCTCACTAGAGGACCGTGACTGTGACCATAGTTCACCCCCCCAAAAAAGAAAAAAATCCCAAAATGACATTGCAGTGTCAGTTGTCAGATGGCAGAACAGAAACAAAAGCAATGCCATCTGGTGGCTGTAACCATGGCAACTCCGGGCAACTCTTAGATCCCCAGACGATGGGGTGCAGCTTCTCCCCACACAAGACAGGGCCCTCTTGAGCCACCCCAGCCGTGGCCCTCATGATCCAATAGGCAAGTCGACCCCTTGGGTTCGAGAAGAATGAAGGGGCGTGAGCCACCTCACCTTTCGGTTTGTTCCTCACAGCCGCCCTGCCTTCCTCAACACCTCCCGCCGCGGGGAGTCCCCCCGCTCCAGGTAACTTCGCTTGTTCTCAACTCGTTGTCTGTACCTTGCTGTGACCAAGTGCGTGTGAAGGGAGTGGCTTAGGGGCCGAATGCCCTGGGTGTGTCGTCCTGGGTGCTTCATCGCTTACTAGCTGGGGGACCCTGAGTGAGTGTCAGAGCCACCCAAGGCCTCGGTTTCCTCCTCTGGATGCGGATGAGGCGGCGCATAGCTTTCGCTTCCTGAGGCCGGTGGGGTTCTGCGGGTCTCCCTGGAGGGAAGAAACGGGGATCGAGGTGGGAGGGCAGTGCCCATGTGGGCTGGCTGGGTGGCAGCCGGGCACTGATCTCCGTCCACTGCCGTCTCCTTGACGGAACCGTAAAGGGTGAAGGAGTGAAAGCTCCATTGTTTAGTGTTTCCCTGACTCCGTGATTGGCCAGCAGTTGTCACCTTTCGGCAGCTTTCCCATGGCAGGTCCTTAAGAGGAAATACAATATGCAGAGGAGGGTTGGGGAAGAGGGGATGACCCTGAACCTTCGAAGGAGGCACTGGAGGAGGTTATGCTAAGTAGCAGTGATCCCCAGAGGATGCTGTCTTGACTTGAAAATACGTCTGTTTTTTAAGACTCTCGAGCAACCACCATGCTTTGCTTTTCTTGAGCTTGTATCACTTGGCTGTAGGCATGCCAGCGGGGCGATGGGGGAGTGCTCCCCACAGAGAAAGGCCTTGGGGGGCGGACCAATTTAAACTCCGAAACTGTAACCGATTCACAAGGCAGAGAGCCCACCGACAGGTGATTGAGAGTTCAATATGTTTGAGACCTGAGATCTTGTGTAACTTGCTGTCTTCCCCTTTCTATCCACCCTTAGCGCATTTTGCAAAGCCAACAGAGGTGCCCACGCCCACAGGTAATCTTCCCTTCTCTTCAGTGCCTTCCCACTGTAGAGCTGTGACTCAGAAAACCTTCAGCGTTTCTGTGGGAGGAAGTGTCCCCATGGGAACCGAGCTCCTCCACACACTCAGGCCCCACGCAAGGTTGCCCTGAGGGAAGGGTTCATAATGTCTGGGTTCACCCAGAAAATCTGTGATTGGAAAGAGAGAGGAGAGAAGAAACTGGGATAGAAGAATGGCCCACTGGGGCTGGCTAGACGCTGGCACCTAGGAAGGGGCATGGGGTACCCACTGACACCAGACCTCTGTCCATTCTGCCGCGAGCTCAGCTGGGCTGTGTTCTGAGCACAGCCAGCCTCTGCCCTTTCTGGTAACTGCCCGCTGAACGTGAGGGTCAGCCTGCGGTGACTACCCAGCCTGTCTTCACATGTCATTGTACCTGATTATAGAATGACACAGATGGGAACTATTGCTATTGGCATTGGATGGACTCGTGCAAGGGCACACAGAATCATACTTACTTACACTCCATTATCAGAGTGTGCATGATAGGTTCTCGTGGGGAATCCAGCCACCCCGTGAGTGTCAGGCCCGAGACTTCAGGGTGCAGTGAAAGAGGAGGGGGCGGCGACACCATGATGCCGGTCACTGGGCCAGCTGGCTACAGAGCAAAGTGCTTCCTAACCAGTTGTAACCTGGACTAGCACACTGAGTAAATAATACCCAAGGCAAGAAATGAAATGAAATGAAATGGGAATAGTTTGTTATTATCAATAGTCAGCGCAGTTTCCAGGACATCCTGAGTTTCTCTTCCGGCGACCTCTCTGGATGAGCCCTGACGGAGGTCGTTGTCCGGAATGTCCACCAAGGTCTGGGCCTGCGGCTGGTGAATGGGGCCAGCAGGTGCGAGGGCCGAGTGGAAGTCTACCACGCCAACACCTGGGGTACGGTGTGCGATGACAGCTGGTCCATAGAGGATGCCCGCGTGGTCTGCAGGCAGCTGGGCTGTGGCCCGGCCCTGTCCGCCCTGCCGGGGGCCGGCTTCCCCCCGGGGTCAGGCAGCATCCTCCTCGACGATGTCAACTGCACGGGAGGCGAGCCCTCTCTGGCGCAGTGCCCCCACAGCGGCTGGTTCAGCCACAACTGTGGCCACCACGAGGACGCCGGCGTCATCTGCTCAGGTGAGCACAGGTGCCGCTTGTGGAGATGCCCGGGTCATGCCTCGAATTTGCAAATAGAGTCTGGAAATGCCTCAAACCAGCCCTGGGACAGCAGGTTTCTGTTCTGACTCTGGACACAGTGCCAGCGGTTTGATGGTACTAGGAGGGCACTCAACTTGAGTGTCTACAAAGGTCGGTCACTTGTAAAGAAAAGAAAATGACGGTACTTTCCTCATAACGCTGTTGGGAGGATTAAACAGACAATTTAGTCAAGCACATGACCCACGATAAACACAAGAAGGTTAACTATTTTGCTGATGGTCATGGTGTTTTCGTTGCCACGTCAAATTCTTTCAGAATCAGTGGCTCCGAGCTTTTAGCCAGGTGATGCAATCCACACCGGTCTGTAAAAGCCCCAAGGGGACAGCCCTCGGCACATTGTTTGCTCCAGCTAGCCAGGTCGCATTTAAACCAGACGCCGATCCCAGAGTGTGCCCACCACCCTGGTTTGCACTGTTCCACCGCCGCCCCATTGCCTCTCTCTCCGCAGAGCCTGCAGCCGCTGGACACCCGGGGATCTGTGAGTTCGCACCGATTTTATTTGCTGATGGCTGGCTCGCCGTCTAGTGCAGAGTCTGTCTCCCTTGCCGGCCTCCACTGCCCTTGACCATGCCCCAGCCCCCAGCCCTTCCCGCCCTTCCAGAAGGTGAAGACCCAGGGCTGTTCCCGAGTCTCGCAGGGCCCTGCTCTTTCTGTTCTGGGCGTTCACAGGTCCGTGGGTCATCCCTTCCACATACAAGATCTGCACTTCGGCAGGACCCTGAGATCCCCGCTCTTGACCCGAAGTGGTTGTGCATGCGCCAGAGGCTGAGGCAGGGCAGGGAGAGCAGAGGGGCCTGTAGCCTGTGGGCCTGGGGCAGCCTCGCCTGGGACCCAGGATGCTGAACGCTGGTTCTGGCCATGTGACCCGGGCCTAGGGGCCGCATTTGCACAATCCCAACATCGATTTTATTTCTTTTATCTTCTTAATCACAACAGTGTGTGCCACCATCACCCTTTAGCTGTTAACTATTTGATGAGCGATCGGATGGAGTTTTTTAAAGACCAGCTCCTGCGTGTGATTTCGATGGTGCTTGAGATGAGTGTGAAACTTCCCTGTTTGTTTGCAATGTGCTCCTGATGACAGCTTCTCTTTTTACCGCTACAGTTCCTTCACCTCCTGGGGAGCAGCCACATGGTTCCCACCCACTAGGTACTTTTTCCATTATTACTCTCTGAAACCGTCTTCCTTGATCTGGGTCCGGCCAACGCTATTTTTGTGGCCCTGGTGCTGCGTGCAATAGCCGTGTGCTCACTAGGGGCGAGCTGGCAGTGTGGGGGGGGGGTCTCCTCATGTGGATTCTCCCTTTCAAGGAGAGTCAGCTCACCCCCTGCCCCTGCAGCCTCCTTGGAAGGCTTGTATTGAGGCCCTGGCCCTGGCCGGGCTATTATGGGCCCTTCTCAGGGGGGTCCCTCGAGCCAGCCCCCGTCCCTGGAGCTCTGAATCTGAGAATCACCTTCAGCTGCTTTTGGTTCAGGGGACAGTTGGCCCGTCCCTTACCTTCCGGCGGCAGCGGCGCCGTCTCTCCCTCTGCTTGCCCCTCCAGTCTCCAGCTCTGCCATCACCCTCCAACAAACACTTTATAATTTTTAAATGCAAGCAAAGTGAAGTGAATCTTGCCCTGACAACTTCATAATAGTCTGTGGAGACCCGGGTTAGAAATGCCAAGTCTGCAACCCAGACGTGCAGCTGAACTATTCTGAGTTTTTAGAGAAGCAACATAAAAAAATGGTACCCCCACAGAGAATGAAAGCAGAAGGTGATTTTTATGTGTGTATGTCTGTATGAAGCCGACCTGTGGCCTGGATTCCCGTAGGAAAACTGCCCAGTGAGGAGAAGCACTGTAGTTCGTGCTAAATTTCAGATGCCAAAGCAGCCATCTGGTCTCCTCTGCATATCAGTTCCCCGGGGACCTAGGCAGCTGGGTCAGCAACCTGCAGATGGGGTAGAATTCTGTCACCAAAAACGCTGTCTCGTTTGAGAGGCGAGGGAACCTTCTCAAGCCAATGTGGCTCTTGGCACCTACAGATCTGCCCACGGTGAGGCTGGCGGTGGGGCAGAGCAGGTGTGAGGGCCACGTGGTGATCCGCCACAGTGGCACCTGGGGGACCGTGTGAGGCAACCTCTGGGGCCTGCCTGCCACCCAGGGGGTTGTGCCAGCAGCTGGGCTGCGGGGGGTCCTGGAGGCCCGAAGGAGCAATCTGTTTGGTGGTAGCTCTGGCCCCATCTTCCTGGACAACAGGAAGTAGTGATTTAGGGTGGCCGGTGAAGCAGGCTGTGAAACAATTCACAAAGAGAAAACATGCAGAGAGCAAAGTTTTATTTTTACTCTCCCAAGAGAGGGAAAGGGCTGGTGTGGAGAAATGTGCCTGTAGCAGCGAAAAGTTGGGGCTGTGAGTTTTTATTGGGTGATAAAGGGGGAGGGGCATGCGGCTGGGTAGTCACGGCAATGAGTTGTAAGTCGGGAGGTTTGGGGCCGCTGGTGCAGGCTCCAGTTCGTCCTGCTGTTTTCGCTGGGCTCGGGGTCCTGGCGCTGCAGTCTGCCATGTTGTTTGTGTAGGTTTTAAAACAGCTGCACGGGGGGTGGGGGCGGGGGGCTTCTAGCCATCTCTCCCATCCTGAGAATAGCGGCTCAGAGAAACAACAGTGCATGATGCCTGACAGAGCCGAGAGAGCGGTAGCTGGTGCTGGTAATGAGGGCCCGAGAAATTCAGACATTTCTACCGCACTGTAGGGTTCTGTAGTTTTTTTCATCTGAAAAGTGGGTGCTGGACATTCCCAGCAAGTCATGGTGCCTCCTCATGAAAACCCTGGATTAAATGGCACCAGACGCTCGTCTGTCCATTTCGTAGCCCCACATCTCCCAAGGGGCTCCTTGGAAAAACTCGGATGGGTGCTCCCAGTTAGTGTCCGAAAGCCAGCGTCCCACCCAGGTGAGGCCCAGGGGAGGGAAGGTGGCTCAGAGACACTGCCTGGTTTGGACTCGGGCCTTAGAGACGCCGCCCTGCCTGTGACAGAGCTGCCTTAGCCAGAGTGTCCTCAACACCACATGGCACAGGTGTGACTCGGGGGCCCACACGGCTGTGCTCACGCGAGTGCTAAATCTGCTCACATCAACGCCTTGGGCTTTCTCTTTTAGCTACTGACGTCACCCCAGAACCAGCAGAAATGGCTCCTGCAGATGCAGACGGTAATCCTTCGTCTCTGTCCCAGGGTCCTGGTTGCCGAGTGTGTCTAGCAGGCTCCCCAAGGTTATAGCCAGCGATGTCAGGGTGCCCAGCCCCCGATGCATGCCTCCCCAGGACTGAGGGTACACAGGGCCAGCGCGGAGGCAGAGTTACCAGGTCACGCGGCCGCTTGTCTGATCCCTGGTGCCTCCCAGATTTCTCGACTTTGACCCTGGGCCAACAGACCAGTTTGTCCTAAAGGAAATAACAAAAAGTTTGAGTTGGATACATTCTGATGTTGTTGCTCAGCAATCGGATGACCTGGCTCTAAAATGACATTTTGCTTCTCCCCGCATTTACCATATCCGAGGATGGCAATGTGGAACAAAGTATGAGAAATAGCAAATAGTCTGGAAAACCCAGTCACTGTGTTGATGAGCACTTACTTGACTTCTTCCCATGGGGCCTAGAAAGAGGAAACTCTAGACAATAGGAGTTAAGAACAGTCCCACTAGAGATGACTTGTGAGAATTGCTGATCGCATTCCAGTAAGAACCCCGAGTCTCTCTCTCTCTCAGACTTGGCCGTCATCAGGCTGGTGGGCGGGAGGAACCGCTGTGAAGGACGCGTCGAAGTCTACCACAATGGCACGTGGGGGACAGTGTGCGATGACCTCTGGGACATCAACGCGGCCCGCGTGGTGTGCCAGCAGCTGGGCTGCGGGGAGAGCGTCGGCGCCCCGGGGAATGGCCGCTTTGGGGCGGGCACGGGGCACATCCTCCTGGACAATGTGCAGTGCCAGGGTGACGAGACCACGCTGGGCCAGTGTCAGCATCGGGGCTTGTCCGTCCACAACTGCGGCCACCACGAGGACGCCGGAGCCATCTGCTCAGGTACTCACCCTCGGTCTCCCCGAGACTGCCGAGCGGTGGGGGAGTGGGGGGGCGTGCTGATCTCTGACCCGTTGGCGCCCCTCGCTTCCTGCTTCCTCCGCCCTGTTCCAGGCTCACCCAAGGAGCCTGCCTTATGTCCAGTTTCACATTCAGAAGTCACGTTTACCTAATTTTAGCATATGTTTTTAAATTTAAAAAGATCTTCTAAATGTCCTCTTTGTGGGTGGGGATCTTGTTTGGATTTTGCCTTATTTTAGTTTCTGTCTGTTTGACCATTTCAGCCTCAGCCACAGGAACGGCCACCTCACCTGGTAATTTTATTTTCTTTCTTGCTCGTATGCATCACGTATGTATAGTTTGCCTTGCACGTGGTCAGGGTTGGAGCTTATACCTCACATGAAACTAAATGTCAAGCTCCTATCAAACTAATGTAAGGGTCTTGACAGTCACTGCATGAGACAGTAAGTTGAACGGACAGTGGTTGTGCACCGTTCGCACACAGGACTCGGGGTGCCCAGTTTGCCGCGCCCCGCCTTGTGCACCAGCGGGTCTCTGAAATCAGCACGGTGTGCAATGAGCTTCTTTCACGTCCCCCGAGGTGTTCACACCCCGGGGATTCAGTGAGCTCATTTCTCTAAACAGTCATGGGACTCCGGGCATCTCAGGCAGCATTATCCCTTTAAAGAGCATTTCCAGAAAATTCCAGAGTACCACATCTCCCATCCATGTTTCCCACTTGAGTCCGCCAATCCAGTGACACGCAAACTTGAAAGAATAACTTTCATGGCCAAATAGTTGGGGAAATACCACGTCCCTTTCTTGGAGATTCCGTTGGTCGGCACGTTAAAGTCTCTGATTAGTCCTGCCGTTGGGGATCTTTCTTTAACCTGGCTTGGCCCCGGGCCTCTCAAACTTCTCCGACCACTGAAACCTTTTCCATGGAAAAGGAGCATCACAGAGTTTGCAGCCAGAGACCCTGGGGTTATGTTCTGGCTCCATCCTTGACCAATAGGGTGGCAGCGGGGGAGTCCCCTCACTGCTCAGAGCCTCGCCATTTTCATCTGAGAACAGGAGGATGAACCTTGTCCCGGGGATGGGGTGGCACACACTTGGGCACGCTCACTGTCGTGGGCACCTGGTCACGTTCCTGAGGGGTGTGTGCGTGGCTGCCGAGACCTGCCTGGCTCCCTAGTGTGTCCTTCTGTGAACTTCCCTCTTCTGCACACTCCGGGGTTCATCCCAAGGCTTGAGTTGATCAACACATGGCTGAGAAAGTTGGAGAAATATCATCGCAATTCAACTTACGTTTTCTCTGAGCTGTAAACAGCTATGAAAGTATCCCATGGTCCCTATTTCCAAAAACCCCAGATCCTTCTGCCAGGCTTGGTAGAAACTGACCTCTAAGGAAAACCGGACAACGAACACAGTTCTCTTGTGGTTGGGTCTGTGAAAAATCGGCCTCCAGATCTCTTAGGCAAGGACAAGTGCAACATGGCACCATCACAGTGTAACACTTTTCTGAGAGTTCAGAGAAACATTAGAGACCGTTCAGCCCAGAAGTCACAAACAGGCAGCCGAGGGCCAATTTTGACCCATGTGCGGGTTTAGATTCAGATAACAGAGTTTTCCTATGCAGTTTTTTTTTAAGATCACATTTTTTTAAAGGGAGATTTCCTATAAAAGTCCAGATTTCAAGCTCTGATGGAAAAACCAGAGGATGGGAAATACTAGCTTGAATTCTGGCAGAGCACCAATTGCCTCGGCTCAGCAGGGACAGGGCCCCCTTCACACGGGCGCGCTCCGTCCAGCTCCCTCCTGGCCCCACCAGTTATGTCTGGGCCTGGAGGCGTCTCCATTCGGATGCCTGGTGCTTCTCAAACTTTGGTGCACATGCAAGTCACTTGGAGGGCTTGTTAAAATGCACATTCTGGCTCAGTCAGTCTGGGGTGGGCCTGGGAGTCTGCATTTCTAACCAGTGATATAGATGCTGCTGGTCCATGAACTAGCCCCTCAGGTGCAGCAGCTGGGAGATGCTAAAAAAAAAAACAGGACTTGCCCAAGGTCACCTGCTTGGCTACACAAAGCAGAGACAAGAACCCAGGTCTTTTGGGTGCTGGACCCACCTCCTCCATCATTTATTCCCCTTAGCTCAGTGAAACGGAGGATACAAACTCTCACTTTCTTATATTCCCAACAGTTGGGTTTCTGGTCTCCCTCCTGACTGAGTATCATGTGAGACAGAAAACTGGGGATAGGGTGGCCACACAGCAGAGCCACATCGGCGACAGCAGTGAGCGCTAACAGATGCTGGTTGCTATCATCTGAGGAGTTCCTGGTGTGACTCCGGGTTTAAGAATTTCCCAAATACGGTGTTGGGGGTGTACCTGGGGAAGGACCATAAAGAGGGTGCTCTCCCCCCCTGCAGGTGCTAGAGCAATGAAGAAGTCAAACTTGAGAGTCAACACAAAATACGGCCTTTATTACTGATAAGGACGGGTTGTGGGGCAAATGGGCCCCCACCGCCTCCTCACCCTCAGTCTAGATCTCGGGACAGCCCACCCGGGGGAAGTTCCGGTGTGCAGAGCTGACCCCTTCCTGGATGAGGGAAGGACCAGGGACAGCAAGTCCCCCATTTACAGAATCTCTCTTAGACTGTCCCCAAGCATACAGCAGGGGAACTTGGATCAATGGTGGCTGTCCCTGGAACAGATCATCCTGATCTCCAAGGGGAGAAGCAAAGGGCAGGCACGAGGCGTGGAGACCCAGGAGTGGAGGGGTGGGCCAGGGACGGTGAGGGATCTGCTGCAGACCCCCGTCTGGAAAGCAGAAAAGTAAGTCAGGGCAGTCACACGGATCTCTGATAGCCATCTTCACATCTCGTGTGTCTCATAGAAATATATGTGCCCAATACAGCTGTCTCATTATTTTTGTTCCTTACAGCTTCGACCTCAACCGCTCTGACCTCCACAGCAGGTAAGATACCGTCTGCTGTCCTATAAGGGCCTCTTCTTGGCGTCCCGATCAGACTAGGCCGTCCCTGGACATTTCGTCCCCACACACGCTCAGGAACAACAGAAACCCAGCCGTCCTCTCTGCTGGTATTTGTGTTCTTTCCTCTTTTCCTATAGACGCCTCTGCAGTCTCAGCAGGAGTCACCTCTTCATCTGGTAAAGACCCTCTCCTTGCGATGTTTCCGTTAACGAGGCCAGCTTCTTACTTGCCATGTTCCGTTTAGAAAATGAACCCACCCAATGACCATTTTGACCCCAAAGTAAACCTCCATGAAGAGACTCACGGAAGTGTCCTTCCTCTCATCTTTAATTGTCCCCTCCTCTGTTGCTACACAGACGTGCCTTCTGCCTCCGCTGAAGAGGACTACCCCTCAGGTGATGCGTTCTGCTGTTACATGTCTCGAGTTGAATGTGATCAACTCTTCCTCTTTTTCTTTAACAAATAAGCATAGGTGCCCGATATTTTGCCTACAGTATAAACCCCAGTGTCAGCGGAAGTCCCAGCATCCTCGGCCAGAAATTAAGCTTCATGTTCGTTCTCTTTATTCGTCCAGAGACACAGACTGGCCCCTCTTTTAGGGAAGGCCTCCCGCTTGTGGCCCCGGGCTGAACTGGACGTGCCCAGGGGAGGCGGGAGAGGGCTGGGGGCCTCCTCTCCCCCGCGCGGCAGGTGGTGCGTGGACCTCCCGGCACGCCCAGCACGCACACTGGAGGGGCGGGTTATCACGCTGTCGCCTCTGCCCATTCGCCCTTCTGTTTTCTACCACACCGTTGTTCAAAAAATATTTCTTTTTTTTTTTTCACTGATCTTTGAGCTCGGTTCTTTTTTGTTCGCAGATGCAGCTCCCACGGCAGGCGAAGTGTCTTCCTCACCAGGTATGTTCTCTGCTCCTTGCAGCAGCCCTGCTGAGTGGGTCCCTGAGAAGCCCCAGCCCAGCAGGTTTACACACCAGAGCCAAGAAACCCTTCCTGTGCCCCAGGGGGCGGGAGGAGAGGCTGGGCAGGTTCCAGGCCACGCCTCCCACTGGTCACAATTCTGAATAAAGGCAGATGCAAGGCCAGGATCAATAGGATAAAATGGAATGTTCTGTTTAGAAAATGAACCCACTCCATGACCATTTTGACCCCAAAGTAAACCTCCATGAAAAGACTCACGGAAGTGTCCTTTCTCTCCTTTTTAATTGTCCTCTCCTCTGTTGCTACACAGACGTGCCTTCTACCTCCGCTGAAGAGGACTACCCCTCAGGTAATGCGTTCCTGGAGGAGACCGTAGAGGTGGCCTACACCAGCTGTTCTCCAATGTCAACGTGCAAGTAAACAGCCTGGAGAACTTGTTAAAACACAGGTGCTGACTCAGTGGCTCTGGACGGAGCCCGATTCTGTATTTCTCACGGACTGCCAGGTGATGCCCGTTCAGGGAGTGAAGACTCTGAACACTCAGCCTGTTTTGGAGGAAAATGAGGCCCAAAGAAGAGAGAGGCTTAGTCAGCTAGGACTGCTATAACTAAGAACCGCAGACCGCGTGGCTTACACAACAGAAATTTATTTTCTCATGGTGCTCAAGACTAGGAGTCCAAGATCGAGGTGGCAGCAGGTCTGAGAGGTCTGGTGCGGGCTCCTCTCTTGGGTTGGACACAGCCACCTTCTCTCTGTGTGTCCGCAGGGCCGAGAGAGAGGGAAAGAAGCATGCTCGGTGTCTGTTACAAGAACACCAAGCCTAAGGTTCACGAAGTGAACCTTAATTTCTTCCTTAGACGTCCCATCTACAAATGCAGCCACACTGGGGGCTAGGGCTTCAACATATGAATTTCGAGGGACACAGTTGGGTCCATAGTGACCACAGAGCTAGAGCAAGGCAAGGCTTGGTCTCCTGGTTCCCATGCAAGGTCCCGTCTGGTCTCCGGCTTTGCGGGTGCATCCATCTGCGGGGTTCCCCCGATCCCTGTGACCCTGATCCCTTCATAACAAGGCCTGCCGCTTTCCTCTGTTTTGTTTCTTTCTTTTCAAGTCCTGGTTAATGTAAAGACATTTGAGGTAAAACTCAATGAGATCAAAGGTTAGGACTTCTTTTCAGTTACATTTAAGTACTGGCTTTCTTCCGTCCTACCTTTCTCCCTCCCTCCCCACCCCTCCCCTTCCTTGCTCTCTCACTCCCTCCATCCTCTACTTCCTCCCCCCTGCCTCTCTTCCTTCCCACCTCACCCCCTTCATCCTCCTCTTCGTCCCTTCCTTCTTTCCCTGCCACCAACATGACTCTACTTGGGGCAGAAGGTTCCTTCGCTTGTCATTCTCACTGGCTCTTGAGTTTTCCTTGTAGACCTGGCTGACGGTGACTGCTTCCCACGCAGACAGGTAGCACTGACACGTTTGCTCCCTCTGTGAAAGCACAACAGCCACAACAGCCAGAAATGGAAAGCCAAAGTCAGCCAGGCCTGTTTGTGCAGGACGCGCCTCTCGGGGTGTAAGGACCGATGTGGTGGCTGTCCCCTGCGCACCTGGCTGAGCCCAGAGTGAATGCAGCTCCCACGTCTCATGCTTCTGAAAGGCATGGAAAGGGTGTGAGCTCCGGGACGTTGCGAGTGTGAACTGTAGGTGACCTGGACACGTGGCACAAGCCCTCGAGTCTCCGGTTCCCCATCTCTGAGATAGCGATTAAACCCGGCACCGTCACTGTAAGGAGTAGAGACGTGAAGCAGAGGACACATTGGAGATGCTCAAAATGACAACAGTTGTTAACCTGCCTTGCAAAATATCAGCTGCTCACACACCATTCCACCCCCCGGGGTGTAAATCCGCAAGGTGAATAAGCAGGGTGGACCCTATTGCCTACAGCTCCTGGAACAGACACGTTTTTATAAACTTGCAATCTATGGTGTAAAATTTCAATGAAGCCAAGTTTTAAAGCTTTCTTTCACTAAAAAAAATAAACACTTTTTTTTTTGCAGCCACAGATCTGATTTCAACGGAACTGACACCATCACCTGGTAATGACCTTATGCCCGCCACTGGATTAACCCTTAGTTTTCAGTAATTCATACAACCCTACTCTATCCTAAAATGCACTGTTACTTTTTCTACCTTGCTTCCCTCTGTATGTTTGCACATGGAATTCCACCTCTCCGATATGATCTTTCTCTCTAAAAATTTTTTTCTGAGGAATCTGTGTTGATTTTCTTCACTTAATCTTCATAGCCTGTAAAAAATTTTCCCATAAAGTCTAATGCTTTTGTATTCTTCCTTTCAAAAATTCAGTATATGTATAATGCTTGTTCTCTGACCATTTAATACATTATTTTATTTTTGGAGAATAAACAGGATACATTACCACTTGTTACATTTTGATACCAAGAAAATAAAATGTCACGGACAGTATTTCTGTCCCCAAACCAAAGGAGAGACTTACACAAAGTGTTAGTATCCAAACTATGCCTTTCTCAGCTTTGACTATAAATACGTGACTTTGAGGTTATGCCTTTTTAAGCTTAGTTTTTCTTTTTTACAGTTACAATGTCAGTTGGTGAAGAAATGGTCCCTTTACCTGGTAATTTTTGTTTGTTTCTAAACATTAAAATGGTATCATTATTAGTACCGTTGAGATCATATCTATTATTCACTCAAATTCCCTACTCTTTCCAGGAAGCTTTATGAGCACACACCAACACCTTCGTGGGTTAGAAAGCCCAAATTCACCCCCGGGGCCTCCCTCAGGAGATGCTTGCTTTCATCCATAGTTCAGACAAGCATGATTGTTTTGCTTCCAAAACACAGCAACGAATTCGATGAGGAGAAAGCAACCATCTGAGACCAGGCAGTTGCAGCCTCAGAGAAACCGAAGCCAGGGGGGTTTATTAGCACCCACTGAGCCCCTCCCGTGCACCGAGCATAGCAGGGAATTGAGAAATAGTCATGTGCAACCAATTTATGTGAAGACAAATTATTTGACATGTGTCTGGGGATGTGGCACCACCAACATAATACAGTTTTTTAATTATTTTTACTTTTGAAAAACACTTTCGTGAAGCATAGGTATATGCAGGAAAGCACACACATCCATGAGTTTTGTCTAATGTGTGTAACAGTTTACCCAGCGCCGTTATCGAGATCCAAGTATGTTCATCCCCTTAGAAAGTTCCTTCAATCCCCTTTGCAGTAAACCTGCCCCGCTCCCCCCGCTCCAGGCAACCCCTGATCTGCATCCTGTCTCCGCAGTTTAGACTTGTTTTTCTAGAACCTCATGGAGATGGAGTCAAAGAACAGGTGCTCTTTCATGTCTGAATTCTTTTGCTCAACAAGTTGTTTCTGAGATTTGTCCACGTGGTTCCACAATCAGCAACTTGTTCCCTTTCCTGCTCCGTAATATTCCGTTGGGTGGGCACACCACGATTTATTTATTCATTCTCCTGCAGACAGACGCTTGGATTGTTCCCGGGTTTTGTCTCTTATCAAGACTTCTGCTATGTACAAGTCTTTCTGTAGACTTGTGTTATGATTTACCTGAATGGCTATGTTACATAATATAGGGGTTTTTTTAAAAGATTTTATTTATTTATTTTTAGAGAGGGAAGGAGGGAGAAAGAGAGAGAGAAACATCAATGTGTGGTTGCTGGGGGCCATGGCCTGCAACCCAGGCATGTCCCCTGACTGGGAATCGAACCTGCGACACTTTGGTTCATAGCCAGAGCTCAATCCACTGAGCTACGCCAGCCAGGACACATAATATAGGTTTTTAAAAAATTATTCAGATATGACATTATATTAGTTTCAGGTGTACAGTATAATGATTCAATATTTGTGTATATTGCAAAATAATCACCACGATAATCTAGTTAACGTTGATCACCATACATAGTTACAAAACTTTTTTTTATGATGAGAATGTTTAAGATCTATTCTCATAGCAATTTTCAAATATACAATACAACATGTAACCGTTTACACAATAAACTATACTCACCATGCTGTACATTTCATCCCCAGGACTTATAACTGGAAACAGGTACCCATAATAGAATTTTTACAGTCAGAATGTTGGCTTCTGTTCATCGAGAGTAAAAGAAATTTCTTTGGATAGATCTTATTCAAGGAGTCAGAGCCGTGTCTCATTTTAGAATAACTGTCTTCCAAAGATTTAGGGTTTTGCCTCTTTTGTTTTATTTTCCTTTGGTGTTTAATGTTTTTGTTTAAAGTTTGAATTTTTGGGTATCTGGAAAGTTATACTGTCCAGTTATACTTATTCCTTGAGGATTTCAGTTAATTAAGGTTTTATGTTTTGAGGGGGGGGGGAGAGGGAGAGGGAGAGAGAGAGTGAGGGAGAGAGAGGGGGAGAAGGGGGGGGAGCAGACATAGAATTCATCCCAGTGTTTTTTCTACTGCAAAAGACAAGGGACCCGATACACATCCGGTGATAGGAACCTGCCCACCCCGCCTTCCCACCTGACTCGCGCTCTTGCCTCCCGCAGACCCGCTCCTGCGCCTGGCAGGCGGGCGCAGCCGCTGCGCGGGCCGGGTGGAGGTCCGGCACCAGGGCGTGTGGGGCACGGTATGCGACGACCACTGGAACATCAGGAACGCCCGCGTCGTGTGCCGCCTGCTGGGCTGCGGCCGCGCGCTCAGTGCCCCTGGGCGCGGCCGCTTCGGCCGGGGCTCAGGGCCCATCCTGCTGGACGACGTGCGCTGCGCGGGCACCGAGGACGCGCTGGACCGCTGCGCCCACTCGGGCTGGGCTCGACACAACTGCTGGCACGGGGAGGACGCGGGCGTGGTCTGCGCAGGTACCCACCCCAGGCCCGCGGTCTTCCCGGGGCCCTGCCGCTTCTTTCCTCTCCAAGCATCCCCAAGGTCAGACTCACCGCCCTGAGACATTTAAGGCTGGCCGAGGCGCCAGATTCTGGATCCCAAGAGCGTAATTTGCCGCATCACCATTTTGGTAAATGTTTTCATCACACAGCCCTGGGATTTTATGAGTCAGTTTTGTCCAGTTGCAATTCAGAGCAGTATTTGTTCCGAATCGGGGGGAAAAGGTCATGGGGCCAAAGGAAGTGCAGTGTCATAAGGCGACATAGAACTTGGTGCTGCCATGAGAACACAATTTGTCCAAGTCCCTCTTGCAATCTCAAGGCCATCCAGGGCATGGTCCTGGATGGAGTCCCTTCGTCACCTGGACCTGGCCCTCAGAAGTCAGCACCCCACCATGGCCTGACGCCCCCCGTGTCCTTTTCATCCCTACCCCTTTCCTGAAATGCTTTTATTCTCTCCCAATATCTGTCCTGTCACTCCGACCCCCACGGGTTGACCCCCTTCCGTGTGGGGTAGTACTTCCTTATATCATCTGTCTTCGATTCACCCGCGAAGTCTCAAAGAGTTGTGGAAGTCTAAGAATTGGTGAACAAGTCTCAGCTCACCTTGTCCGTTCCATTCTTAGGGTTTTCTTTTTAATGGGTAAACAAGGGAAAGAAGTCATTGCCATTGCTTTTTTGGATGTAGGAGTTACTCCTGTCCCGCACGGAAATGGGGCCCAGAGAGAAAGGCGATCAGAGCCCCATGGGACAAGCATGAGCCCGGCAGGGACCACGGAGGATCCGTCTGCCCGGGGTGGTGGGGCCTTTATCTTCCAGGTCCTCGCATTTGCTGGGCCTGTTCACGGTTCCGGCCCTGCCTCCTGCTGTCAGGGGCCCCACTGTCAATGATCATTGGTCTTCCATTTTTGGGTTATACACCACGGGGTTTCCTTTTCATGGGGTACAGCAAACGAAGAGCCGGTGGTCTGGGGCCAAGAGTGTCTAAAGGGGTTGAGTGAGTCTGGCCAGCCATGCTTCCTGGCCTGGGCCCTGGCCCTAGGTTACTGTCCCGCCCTGCTTCTGGGCTGGGGAGGCCTTTGATAGCCACACACTTGCTGTGTCCCAGCCCGAGTTCATGTATGCGACAGTGTTTAGAACCTGCAAAGCCCTGTAGTAACTGTTTGCTTGCTGCAATAAATCTTCCTGTGGATAACACCCCTGTTCTCAATACTGCTGCACGCAGGCCAGAATCGCGCCCTGCCACCCCCCCTCCCCCCGCGCCCCGTCCCCCGCTGTCCGTCTCCATCAGGAGGCCCCAGGCTCTCCTTCCTTTTGCATTGCCCTGGAGTACTTTCACGCCGTTGTACCTCGGCTTTAATGCCTGAATCAGTGAGCCCGTTTCCCTACGTTTCGTGCCTGCTGCTGGCTCCATCTGCCAGCATCGCTTCACAGCTGACATTTGCTTTCATCATTCTCCCTTCACCAGGTGAAGCCGACTCTGTTGTGCCCAAGGACCACGGTAAAGTCTTCTGCTCTCCCAGGGTCTGAGGCTGTGGAAAGGGGGAGCTAGGAGAGCAGTTGCCCAGGGAAGAGAGAATGGACTGTGGGGAGACTGGCTTCTGTGTCCCCACCGAGTCCTCTTGTATCTCCATCCACTCACTGGGCTTTAGGAGGCTGAGGAAGAAGCCCCTTTGCACCTACCCCGACCCTTTGCTTCCCCTCTCTTTTTCCAACCAGATAGATGCATTTCAGGCTCAGGGGTTTTCAACATGCGAAGTGAGCTGTCTTTAACTCCTTAGAAGAGGGTCTCACTCGCAGCCCGTGGCATGCACGCCGTGGGTGGGATTCCCCATGGATGTGGTGTGACTTTTGGAAAAGGGGTAGGGGTATATAAATAGAGTCAATGAATGTCGAGTCCAACATTGGGGGAGGGAGGATGAGAGCTGAGCCCACCCAGGGAACTGCTGGTACTTTTATAAAGTAAACATACACCCCCACCCCACCCCACCCCACCGATCTACGCATCCAGTACACCAGGTTCTCTCCGCGAGCGTCTCCTCATCCTTCTTCCCCTGCAGCCATGCTCTCCTGCTCGCCTCACCTCTTCCAAGTCACCGTTGACCGAGGCTACCTCCGGAGGCTGGGCTACTCGTCCTGGGACGTTCACTTAAATGATGAGTTCTGTCGCCCCCAAGTCACGGGGCGCTACCTGATCTTCAGCATCCCCTATGGCCACTGCGGCACCATCCAACAGGTGAGAAGCTGACAAGGTGGCGGTACCCTGCTGGGGATGGAGGCCGGGGAGAGAGGTTTGGACAATTCAACCACCTATTAAATACCCGGGTAGGGACAGAGGAAAGGCACAAGCCATGGCTTTATTTGTGAGTTCGGTGAGACCTGGAACAGCCCACTGATTTGTCTGAAACGTTCCTTCCATTTGGAAATTTGGGCTACATTCTGAATTTGGAACTCACAGGAACACGTGCTAAGCGCTGATGGACTGATGGACGGACGGGTGGGTGGATGGGGGCTATTCCCTTCGCCCCAAAGCCCATGCATTTTCCCCACATGCTTCTTCATTCGGTACCAGTGCACACCTACCATGTGCAAGCCATGGTGCTGGGCACGGGGGGCGGGGGAGGGACAGAGGATCTGTCTGTCTGACTGCTATGTTTCTAACTGGGTAGCTCGCCTTATTTCTCAACCTAGGACATTTATGGGTGGGGAGGCTCCACCTGCAGAGCCCCCCAGTCCGTCCCAGATGAGAATAAGTCTACCAACACATGATCTGCTTGGGGAGGAAAGGTGACTGATCTCTCAGAGGAGAAGGGCCAGGACCTTTTTCCTCAATGGGCTTTTATTGGGTTCAGTTTGCACAGCAATACAGGTGAAGCTCATCAATCATTGTCAGGCAGGAAGGATCAAACAATGGATAGCATACAAAGAACTCTGAGGGCTTATTCTGAGTCAGAGTCAGTTAGCTAAAGGGCTATAAAACTTTGGGGAACAAACTCATTTTATGCTCAGACCCTTATCAGAAAACTGAGGACGTGCTTAGCAAAGCAGGTTTCACGGGATTTTAAGTATTCTTTCTTAGGCCCGATCGCCCCCAGGGAACTTGCCCTTTCCAGCACTGGGCTGCACCGCCCTCTGTCATTGTTTGAGGCTTAAGTCAGGCAGGGGAAGTAAGGCAGCCAAGAGATTAGGAGACTTCTTGCAGAAAGAATGAGGACCCAGGCTATGTCAAAACTGAGGAGCGAGGGTTCATCAGCCCCTTTTCCTATAGCCCCCCCAAGTCCTTCCCTGAGGGCCTCCTCATGACCATGACTGTCTTAGGTCATCCCTCCTTTGAGGAATCTCATTGGCTAACCAGTTATCCACCTGGGGCCAACCAGGGTGAAGTAAAGGGGGGCAGAGGTGGCACCCTTGCCAAGGAGATAAGCTTTGTCTCCTTAGTGGTTTATGGTCCCGAGGTCTCTCACTCAGCCTTAGCCATGGGGGGTCACAGCTTCTGAAACTAGGCAGGGCGGTTCCCAACATTTATGTATTGTGAAATTCATATGTTTACTTCAATTTCCTTAACCACCTGCTTATTTCACAAAACAATATCACAGAAGTTAAGTAGACAAGAATGCCAAAGATATAGGAAGAGTATACGATCACAAAATCATTTTTCTCAGTGCATTTAGCTGCATAGCTTGTCCCAAAGCAGATCCCCGGGCTGTTCGCCCATTCTTTGGCTTCCATGTTCAGGCACACACACCGAAAACAAGACATTGGTGGAGGTTGACTTCATTCACATGGTTGAGTTCCATACTTGATATTTTGTATATTCAGCAAGGCAGACCATGGTCATTCTTATCCTTTTTGCTCTGGAAGTTTAGTTTTCACCTCTGAAGTGTCTGCCCAGAAGCCACGCTTGCAGGCCCTTGTGTCTGGGAGGAGGGCAGCCCTGGAAGTGCCAGGCCATCAGGGGGGACCGTCAGCAGGCCTCTCCGGCCCTGGCCGGCCCAGCCTCCCCAGCAAACCTCCTGTGCTCACCGCAGTGCTGGGGCCACCCCCCAGGGCCACCCCCAGGACTCCCACCACAGAAAGCTCCTGCGTCTGATTCCAGAGTCAGTGAACGAGCAACTTTCTGGGTGCTGAGGACACAGGCGCCAGCAAGACTGACAGGGGCCTGGGCCATTGGAGAAAAGGGAGATTGGAACCGGACAAATGCAGATGAGAGCCCTTTACAGTGAAGGGGGTTAAGGCGATAAAATGAGGAAGGGAGTGGAAGATGGTTTGGGGTGGAAGGAAGGTCCCTTTCAATAGCGCAGCCAAGGCGCCGAGGCCTGACCGAGGAGTGGAGCTGGGGGAAGGCCAACAGGACCGCTCCAAGCGGAGGGTTGGCCGGTGCAGAGGCCCCAGGGCAGCAGCAAGCTTGGAGGGCTCCAGGGAGCCTGTGAACATCGGGGAGAAACCCAAGGTCAGATTGGGAAGGGCAGGGCCCTGTGGTGCTGGAGTTGAAATTTTCTTCTAAACAGTGCGTTCTCAACGAGGGCGATGTCAACTTCGAGGGGTAGGAGAAATATTCGTTCTTAAGGGCAAAAAAGAAAAAATAGAAAGAACCCTTTCTTTATGGGTAAAGCACAGATACATGTACAGAACATCTACAGTGGGTTGTTGTACTAAACTTTCACAATGGGGGCTGGGGAGGGGGTGGGGGGGAAGGAAAACAAATGTCTGTGGAAGCAGACCAGTGAGAAACAGTGATCTAAGCAGCCCTCAGAGGGCTCCAGGGCAGAACGTCCGTCACAGGATCCGCGTCACACAGACCGGGGAGGATTCCCTGGACATATGCCCCGGACAGGCGGAGTCTCTGGGCGACACATGGGGCAGTGGGAAGGGGGCCGCCAGAGCCTCACCAGCCTTCAACGCCCCCTCCGCCCCTTCAAGTCAGGCTGGACTGGAAGGAGCAAGGCTGAAGGTGAAGGTCAGCAGGGCCAGGCCGCTGCTCGCAGAGCCAGCACTGCTCTGGGATCAAGAGCAGCGAGGAGCCAGAAGAAAGGATGAGCACCCCGGTGGGGGGTGGTCAGCGCTCGGCTGACGGCACCGTGGGCTGAGGGAATGCAGTGTGTGAAGGAACGAACTCCGCAGCCAGCATGGACCCCCACAGCCTGGTGCTCACAGGAGGGAGAGAGGGAGTCCACGCTCACCCATTGGGGGGCTCCCTGCATGCACCCTGAACTCCAAGAGCAAGGTCACCCCATCATGGCATTATAGGTAGCACAGAGGTCAGGCCCAAAGCCTCCCGGCTGGCAGCTCATCAGCAAGCTGGCTCCAAGCTGGTGCTGAGCAGAGGAGGTCTCTGCTCCTGAAGGAAGGTGCCGGTCAGGGAGCCAGCAGCGCTGGCCACCAACTCGCCTGTCTTCCTCCCAGGAGAGCTTCGGCTCCGTCAGCTACTCCAACTCCATCAGAGGCCACCGGGTACGGGGCCACCCTGGCCGAATCATGGTGCGGCACAAGGTGCCTCAGCTGAAGTTCACCTGCGCCGTTGATGGCCCGTCAGCAATTGAAATTGTTCCCGGGGAAGACAGCCCACGGCAGGGTGCCAGCTACGATGTGTCCATATCATTCCTCGAGCTGCCCATGTCCCCACAGGAGGGGGGCAGGGGGCCGTACTACGCCAACCAGAGGAAAGAGGTCTTCCTCGAGGCCACACTCCACAGCCCCGATCGCCACCTGAGGCTCTTCGTGGACACCTGTGTGGCTTCTCCAGATCCTCAGGATTTTACAACTGTCAAGTACGACTTGATCCGACAAGGGTAAGGATGACGGAAGGCTCTCTGGGGGGTTGACTGTTGTATCCACGTGGCATTCCTTTGGGGGACCCTTGGATTCTCTGCTGGTAGTCCGAAATCATAACATTGTGTAAGAGTCCTCATTGTGCCCCAGAGGTAGAGTCGGGGCGCTCGCCACACCTCTGTCCCCAGTCGGGGACGAAGAGTTATAGGAAGTGTGGACCACTTCTCTTGAATTTCCAGAGTCCAGGGCAGAGCCCTTGTTCTCCCAGCCCACCCTTTCATCCCCTTCCTCTCTCTGTAAGTTTTACCACTTCATTACACTGGCCCTTCCTCAGGTCATTGGGCCTACACTGGCGAGCTGGTTGGTTATCCCAGGCTAAGCTCTGACAGGGGTGAGATTTATTCTGGCTCCTTCATTAAACAACAGATTTGTCAACCTAGAACTCTGGCAAGTTGTTTGCCTTTATAGCTCCCTTGTCCCCTATTAGGGAAAAATGCGTATGGATGGGCAATTGGCAACCAGGGCAAAAAGAACAAAACCTCATCGCTTGCTAAAACCCTGAGAAGCCTCACGGTGCCTGTTTCCCAAAGCCTGGGGCAAGCAAGGGGCAGCATCTCCCACAGGTGGTGCGAGCCAGGGCGTGGGCAGTGCACAGGTGCAGCAGCAAGGGGCAGCATCTCCCACAGGTGGTGCGAGCCAGGGCGTGGGCAGTGCACAGGTGCAGCAGGGAACTGCCTCAACTCAGAGTGAGAACGCTTCTCCCTTTAGTTCTCCTCACAAATGTGTGAAGGAGAGAGGCACAGTTCGGTGCCGGAATTGAACAGTCGCCTCTTTTTTCTTCTGCTTGTTTTAGGTTTAATTTTCTCTTCTAATTTCCTAAGGTGGAAGCTTACATTATTGACTTTAGATCTTTCTTCTTTTCCAACGTATGCGTCTAATGCTATACATTTCTCTGTAAGCAACCCTAGCTGCTTCCTACAAATTTTGGTAAATTGTATATTCATCTTCACATAGTTTGAAAATTTTTTTTAATTTCTTTTGAGACCTTTTTCTTTGATCTGGCTCTCCGGATGTGATTGGGCTTGGATTGTTGTTGGGTGGTCCCTTGGGGGGTCCTTCCCCGCTGCTGGTTGACTGAGGGTCCCTCCGCCCACCACGTCTTCTATGCTGTTGGGCAGGTGCACCGATTTTCCTTTCCAGATCTGTCTCTGGCGATGTCAGATGTTGACCCTGTCTGACCTTAGTAGGCAGCCTGTTCGAGACTTCCAGGGATCTACTGTCTGGGGCTGTCTCCTCCATGTGTTAACCTAGTCACCCTGCACTCAGCAGTCAGGCCTAAGCACTGCAGGGTCGAGGGAATCCCTGCTGGGGGCGGGGCTATTGTTTCCCCTCAGGCTGCTGCTGCTCAGGGGAGTGGTCTGCCTGAGCGGGATGGCTGCTGCGGTCTGGGGGATGACTGAGCACCGGGATCCCGGAGGCTACTCTCTCAGCTTTCTTCCCAAAGCCTCTGTCCCCAGTCTCTCCTCAGGCATCTCCAGTCCACTCCGGCCCTGCCTTTGCCAGAGCCCAGGGTAAGTGGCTGCGAAGGAAAATTTGTGCATTGGCCCTTTAAATGACTCTGCGTCTCTAGCCATCCGTCTCTGGCCAAACTAACCCTGCCGCTTTTCGCCGCCAGTTGTTATCTGTGTACTTTTGGGACTGTGGTGTTCTAGGCTGGGGATCCCACCTTAGGGTTTAGACCCCACATTTTTCAGGGGAATCCAATCAGCAGCTTAGTTGTCCTCCAGCTCTGCTGCCTGTGGGTGCCCGGCCAGCCCTCTCAAGTCTCGACCGCACTCCTTACAAGACAGGTTGTGCTGAAGCTGGTTCTGTGTGTCTGAGGTTATATGGCTTCTCTCTTGCTCTTATTCTGTTGTTTATTCCAGGTGGTTTCTCCACAGTTGAGTTGTAATTCCAGACTGGTCCTGGGAGGAGGTTCGTGTGGCTCCCCCTCACTCCCCTGCCAACTTGCCCTGTTGTGGAGACCCTCTTCTCTGATTAGCAGTGTGTTAATTTCCAAGTATGTAGGGATTTTCTGTTACTGACTTTTAGTTTAATTCCAGGGTCATCTCAGGGTGTATTTTGTGTGGTTTCTAGCCTTTTAAATTTGTTAAGACATGCTTTATGGTCCAGGTGGTGGTCTCCTTTGGTGAATGTTCCCTGTGGGCCTGAGAAGAGTGTGTATTCTGCGGTTGTTGGATGGAGTGTTCTCTAAGTGCCAGTTAGGTCTCACTGGCTGATTGCGCATTTCAGATCTCTGTGTCTTTCCTGGTTTTCTGCCTGCCGGATCTCTCAGTTCCTGACAGAACAGCATGGACGTCTCCCACCATTAGCGTGGATTCATCAATTTCTCTGTGTGGTTCTATCAGTTTTTGCCTCGTATATTTTGTTAGGTGCATATACGTTAAGGATTGTTATGTCTTATTGAAGGATTGACCCCTCTGTTATTATGCCATGCCCCTCTTCATCCCTGTTATCCTGGCTCTGAAGTCTGTTTCGTCCGGAATTAATATAGCTACCCCAGCTTTCTTTTGATTAGTACTCATATTAGCACAGCAAACCTATATCCCTTTACTTTTAGTTTAAGTCTTTATACTTAAAATGGGTTTCTTATAGACAACATATAGTTAGGTCTCAATTTTTTTAAATCTACTCTGACAGTCTCTGTCTTTAAATTAGCAGAGGATGCTTTAGGACCTAGACTCTGCTTCAATATTTAGACCACTCACGTAATGTGATTATTGATACAGTTGGATTGAAATCTGCCGTCTTGATAACTGTTTTCTATTAATAGCATTTGTTCCTCCCCCCGCTCCCCTTTTGCTGCCTTCTCTGGTTTTAATTGAGCATTTTATGTTACTCCATTCCATCTCCTCTCTTGATGTACCATTTAGATAGACTTCTTTTTCAGTGGTTGCACCAGGGTTTACAAAATACGTTTTTGAATAATCTAAGTTGACCGTCAAACAATGCAACCCCCACGTTTAATGTCCCCTTGTGACAAAATGGAGTAGGCCTTCTGAAAGCAACAGCTCCAGCTAGAATTTAATTACCTTGTCTTATGCTTATACGTTTATTTCATAGTCCCCTTCTACTTCTGGCCAAGAATCATGGTTTTTCCACTTATAGTGCTGTTATGAAAATGTTTTATGGGACAGGGACAGAGTGGTAGAGGGAAGAGCTCCGTGTGGACTTCAGAATTCTGGGTCCACGCCTGCGTATGTGCGTCAGCGTGAAGTCACACTGCACTTTAAGTTAATGCTTTTGGTCTGGGGCTCTTCTTCCTATCAGCTGCATCAGAGACAATACCTACGTCACCCTTCACTCTCACGGGAACACGGCCAAGTTCAAGTTCGACGCCTTCAGCTTTCTCAGCAGCTACGATGTGGTCTATCTGCAATGTAAGGTCGCCGTGTGCCAAGCAGGGGACCCCTCCTCCCGCTGCTCCCGGGGCTGTGTGGGGCGGAGTCAGAGGAGTGTGGGCCCCGTGGGGGCCACAGAGGAGCGGGCTGAGCACTTCCAGACGGTGGGGCCCCTGGAAATCCACAGAGGAACCAGTCAGAGCAAGCGCTTTGTGTGACTCCTTCAGTCTTCCCACAAATCTGTTAGAGATTAGAAGCAACGTTGATTTCTCTTCAATGAACTAAGACATTTGATAAATCAGAGGTTGTCCACATGGACATCAGGTGAAAAAGAAACAGCTGAAGAGGTTCTGACTGTGCTTTGTTGCTAATAAATCTTTTCTGATTACTAAACTCCTTTTTGTAATTTGTGAAATTTATTGGGATGAAATTGGTTAATAAAATTATATAGGTTTCAGGTTATAGGTATATAGGTTGTACAGTTCTATAATTTATCATCTGTATATTGTATTGTGTGTTCACCGCCCCATGATTACTAAAGTTCAAAGGCAATTGGTCTCTTTGAAGCTAGAAATGTTGCATTTTCCACTCTTCACTACCCGGAATGTGATCGCTGTCCTAAACCATACAAAGTATTACAAGGAACAGAGTTATCTCTCTATAATGAATTGCCAACTTGAAGATACTTGAAAATTGTCTCCTTCATGTTCAGGTGCTAGTAGGTGGATCTTTTTGTTTCTGTCCCTCGGGTGCTGTGAGAATTTATTTTCTGGTCTCACCAAGAGTCTTATGAAAAATAAATTAAGCATCAGTCAGGAAGCTCCTGCCCTTTTAAAAAAAAAAACAAAAAACTCTAATAACTGGCCAGTTGAATCAAATGTATCATTTACTCACGGTCATTGACTCAACACAAGTTTTGTTCGTTTCAAAGCAAACGAACTGGGCCCAGGCTTCGCTGGGTTCTGGCTGTAGCTCGCAGATAGATTCTGGAACAAAAGCACCAGAACCACTCCTGGCTGCTTTCTGAGGCCGCACACGCTCAGTCTGGGTCCCAGAGCCTCAAGGCACGACAGCAACCTGGCAAGCATGTGGGAAGCCTGAAAAGTGCACGAGAAAACATTCACATCTTCCCACGTCCTCCCCGAAAGGGAGGGCAGTGCCCACTCCACCTAATCTCTCCTTTTATCTTGGCAGAAAAAGTCTGCACTAACCTTCAAAGTTGTATTTAAAGAAACAGACCTGAACATAGACTTTTTCTTGGCTTGTCAAGAAATACTCAGTAGTAATATTTAAAATACGAGTCCTCAACAGCAAGAAATTGTTCCCATCTTTGTCGAGAACTAGCATGTACCAGATGAGAATGCGGGATGGTCAAGGCCCCCAGGGAGGGGGCAGGGGCAGTGTTTGGTGGGGTGGGGGCGCGAACCCTGAAGTCCCGACAGACGGAGTCGGACAAGTGACCCGAAGACGGACAAGGCCTGGAGAGGGGAACATCTCAGTTTTGTGCAACCTGCCCTTCCTCGACAACTGTCTTGGTGAAAATGCAATCCTGACGTGTATTTTGACGAGGTTCCCTCTACACACAGTAAAAGCTGATGAAATGGAACCGCTGGTCAGTTTGAAGAAGATGGCATTTCTAGCACAAAGGTTCCGTATTTTCATCTGCAGTCACATGAAATAATCATTTTAGCATTTGCCATCTGTTTCATGCAGATGTTTCAAATGAACAGGTGTTTTCAAAGAACTTGGAGTGGCCAGAGTTTCTCCTTTCAAAAGTCCGTCTGCCTGTTAACCGGACCTCTCCACACCACCTTAAGGAAGGGGGAGGCCACCCGCTCCCAGAATTGAGCATTGTACGGATTTTACCAACCCCTCAAGTGAAAGCGTTGGCAGGGAAAGGATTGAATGTCAGGACCGAATGAAAAGGGCTCAGGGAACTTCCAGGTGAGGTTCTCCGGGTGCTGTTCAACAGGTGGGGGCCAGGGAGCTGCCCTTTGCAAAAGCACCTCAGGTGAGTGAGTCTCAGGAATGCTGGAGGTTGAAAGCCACGGCCACTGTCCTCCGGCGGCCCATGCCCCAGGAATCAAAACGCACTTGACAGGGAGGAGCCTGCCGCCCAGAAACGCCAGTGGGTTCAGTCAAAAAGCCCCAAGAGAAGCCTGCTCTCTCCAGTCAAAGGACCAGCAAATGCACAGGAAAGCAAGACAGGCAACTGTCTTAGACAATACCTGCCCTGCTCCAAACACCACGGGTGAAGCCGCGGCTCCACCCCTACCCCGGCCGGCGGAGGTGAAGTGGGGAGCCTAGACTTCGGCCTGCCCCCAGTGCCCCTTACGTCTCCCCACCCCAGGGTGGTATCCGAGGAGGCAGAGTGGCGAGCTGGGACTTTTATCACTTCCAGGCAGTATCCAGGGCCTGCCCTGTACCCTCGGGTCAGGTGGAGACCAGGTAGGGAGCCAGGACTTCCAGCCCCCCAGCCTGGTCCAAGGCACCCCTTTGAGCCTGCTCTGGGGTGCTCTCAGAGGCCTGGCAGAGAGCCGGCACTTCCAGCCCCACCCAGAGGTGTCTCCACCATCCTGGCAGGGGGCGGCGGCCCAGGCCACCCTGCTCGACAGTGACAAGGCGACATCCCCATCTTGTTTGCGGATGCTAGTGTTGCATTGGCTGACTTTTTTTTTTTCCTGAAACACTTTGTTAAGCATGGCTCTTGAATACAGCACAGAGTCAGACTTGACTTTGTGAGACATTCTGAAAAGTCTGCTTCTTCAAGGAGTGAGTGTAGTGACCACCCTGGTGTGACACGCGGGTCACCCTCCCTCCGAGGGAGTCACTCCTTCTTCAAGCTGCTGGGAGCTTTGGTGGCTCAGCACCACTGCTTTTCAGGAATTTCCCTCAGCTCAAGGCAGCCTCGTCCAAGTTCACAGCCTTCAACCAATCACTGGTCCATGGAAGCATGTAAGGTCCTGAGCACCATGCCTGCTGGGGGCATCTCGGAAGGGCCAGCCCAGCCCGGGAGCCCCAAGGACAGGCTAGGCCTTCCACTGCAGCTGCCCTGCCGGGCCTGCTCCCCACCCCTCGCCCTCACCCCTGGAGCGGGTGGATCCTGAGCATGCTCCCCAGGTACCCTTCGCAAACAGAGCTCTGTGTCCGAGGCTTTGCCCGGGAACCCGGCCCATGACAGGCAATAGCGGGTGTGGTCGGAGGAAGCAGGTTCTAAAACGAGACTTGGGGACTGGCCCCGAGGACACATCAGGAGTGGTCAGTGGGGCACAGACGGCTCCCGACCGCAATGCATTCTCCCATGGAACCCTTGCTGCGCTCCCAGGGAGGGGCCCGACAGCGGTTACCATGCCTATTTGCAATGGGGAAGATCAAGGCCAAAGGTGATCTGGCCCAGGTAACCAACCCAGCAGGCAAGCAAAGGAACTACGACCCCAGGCCACCAACTCCAGATCTGGGGCCTTTACTCACTTCAGTGCAGCTTTTCCTAACGAAAAAAAAAACCCTGATATTATTATATAGTGATACTACATACTGAAAACACTCCAGGACCACTCAACGGGGCCACCACAGAGGGTGTGTGAGCATGGTGATACGATTATACACTCTCTAGGGAGCCACCATGCTTGACACTTCCCTTAGGGTGACCCTGGGGCACCCGGTGAACCTCTGGCTACCGCCACACCTGGTCGCCAGAAACGTCAGTCACATCCCAACAGGGGGACAGCTCGTTCTCACCAAGGTGTTATGTGATTGCACGTTAGGTTAGAAAGGAACTGGGCAGTAGTCCCACTCAGGTAACACGGATGAACTCAGAGGAGACTCAGGCATGTGGACACCTGGGGAAGTCTTTGGAACATCTGTGCGGAAATATTAAAAAGAAAATGGGGGGCCCTGGCGGGTGTGGCTCAGTGGATTGAGTGCCGGCCTATAAACCAAGGGGGTGTTGGTTCAATTCCCAGTCAGGGCACATGCCTGGGTTGCAGGCCAGGTCCCCAGTAGGGGGTGTGTGAGAGATAACCATACATTGATGTTTCTCTCTCTCCCTCCCTTCCCCTCTCTAAATAAATAAATAATTAATAAATAAATAACCTCTTTAAAAAAATAAAATGGGGGATCTGCTTTGATTTGGAGCTGGAAATCAGTTGAGCCCCTAGGAGCCTGTTCTGTGAGGGCAGAGACCCTGTCGTATCCATTGTGTGTCCTTCCCGCACGCTGTACACCCAATACACGTGTCCAGGAAATGGAGAGCGCCCTTGGGTGCCCGGGAGAGGGCTTGACTGTGTGGACGTGTAGTAGAACCTGAAACCACGTGTGGTGTCAGGCGAGGAGGCAGAGCTGTGCGGTTCATCTGAGATAAAAAGTCAGGTGTGACGTGGGGCGTGTGTACCATCGGCCCACACCGAGGGCTTTAATAACATTTGTTCAGCCAGAGTAGACAGGAAAGTGAAGGTCAGATTATTCCTCGTTAGGGCAATCACTTTCGGCTTTGGTTGTTGGTTATTTAGCGATAAAGGGGCAGAGGGCTGTTTTATCGTATTCACCCAGAAATATACGGAAGCCTCTCCTTTCACAGTCGGGTTCTTCCTGCCAGAGCCCTCTTCTGAGATGTTTGGGCGTGACGTGCTGAGACCGTGCACTCAGTGAAAGGTGGCGGTTCTCTCTGTCACACTATAGTTTCAGAAGTTTCTACGGGCTTCCAAAGGGACCATATGTGTGTCTAGGAAACAATTGCATCTAATACTGAAGACTGCTTTTCTTAAGTGACAACCACCATTTTCTGATCACCTAATGCATAGTTAACATCCTTTTTCATAATCATAGAATATTTTTAAAACTTGCTACATAGTTGGGTGGCTTTAGTTTTTTTAACCTGAAAGCTAAGAGAGCACGCTTGCTCATTTTGGTCGCCCTGCAAGGAGACCCGCTCTAAGCGCCAGAACGGGAAGAAGGGCCCACCTGTCACTCTGATGAGGCTTCCCCCATTTATCCGTGGTGCACGGAGCCCTCGGGGAGCCTCTCCTGCTGCACTTGGGAGAAATGTGTCTCGCATACGGCTGAACCCTTTAGCTAATAGACCTGCAGCTGCTGGTATTTGAGGTCTGTTCTCTGGTTCACAAAGTGCCTCGCGACAGCTGCGGCCATGACCACAGCATTCAGAAAAAGGACGGTGAATGAAAACAGACGTAAACTGCCAAAAGGCTGGTTCTGAGGGACT